ATGGCGTAGATGAGATGGTTCGTTCCCAACCACGTCTACCACGTTCCTTCCCCTTGAGTTAGTTTGGACGACAAACACCAATGACAAGGAGCAACAAGGAACACGGCGGTTTCGGGACCGGCGCCCTGTGCACACCTTTGTTCATCGGAGATCTATCGGGCTAACAGCAGGTTGAAACCCGACCGCCACATCTTGATCTTCACCCTTTGACAATGGCAAAGACTCTCCGAAGAATGCTTGTTGAAGCGAGCAAGAACCAGACGGACGGCAAATGGCGACTTTCTGGACAAATCAGCGACGTTCTCTTGATGCGCCTGTGCGATTATCAGCATCTCCACTACATCAACGGCTTCATTGTCACTTGTTTCTTTTCTTCGCCTTCTAGAACACCTTCCATATTAGGATTTACATCCGATTTACAACTCCACCAAAGAGACCGGTCGCGATCCAAATGATGAAATACTGCTTCGACTGGGCTGAGTCGGCTCCACCAAACCGGGGGAAACAGTGGGAAACAGTGGGAACGATCGTCGAAGTCCAGCCAACTTCTGATGTAAACGACCGTTGCGTGTGTAAGTGGTTGGACAAGGCTGAATCTTCAATATCTCTTGGCGTTAACGTCGGAGATATATCTCCTTACATGCGTGCTGGCAAAATCTCTTATCGACCTACGAAGCAGGATTACAGGTAAGACGCGGAGAAGTTAGTCCGGACAGTGACGGGTAGGTACAGTTCTTGGGATTTGGATATTTCTGATCTTCGACGTATTTGTATAGTAGTGTCCCAGCAGAAAGAGAGAGAGACGAGAATGTTGATCTTGACTTTTATCAAACCCTACACTTTGCCCAGAAAAGAAACCTTGATCTTACGCCAAGGTTAAGCTACGATCATCACGAACGAGAGAGAGATCCGGAACTTACACCCCAGAAAAGGAAACATCCAGAAAACAGATCAAATTCATGGGTAACACAACACGCCCTCCCAAGCGGAAGGACTCCAACCACTTCACCGGCCCCAAGCACTACAACGCCGCCTACTCTAGCGGCGCCTTCTCCTTCTTCAACCCAACTGCCCGCTACCACGTCCTCGCGCCCTCAAGCCACAACGAGGTCGAGCCCCAAGTCGATCCAACAACCGGAAAGAGGCAGAAATCCCAGCAGGCCTCCGACGAGCTCTCCCTAACCGGCAACGAAGCCGCCTCCATCCTCGGCCACCGCGCCACCAACGACACTACTCAAGAAGCCGTCGCCTCCCTCCCTCAGGACACCGACATCCCCACCCTATCCGCCGACCAGATCGGCCGCGCCCTCGAAGCCACCGATTCCCAGCTCAGCGCCCAAAGTTCGCTCCAGAATGCCGCCAACGCAGCGACCGTCTCGCCCGAGCGGCTGGCGGGCGCCCTTGACACCTCGCCTAGCCAGATCGGAAGGGTCGTCCAGCTGGGGATGGGGATGGGGGGTAGTGCCAATGGTAGCAAGACGTCGATCAACACCACGCAGCAAAAGCAGCGAGAACAGGAACAGAAGGATAGCGGGGTGTATTATATCTGGCGGAGCAGGGATAATAGGAAGGGAAGACATGCGGCGGTTGTTACGAAGCCGGGGATTTTGCAGCAGGGGAAAATGAAAAAGGGTAATAAAGGGGGGGGTGGGAATAAGGATAAGGATAAGGATGGTGGGAAGGATAACGATGATGGAGAGGAATGTGGTAGGACCAGTGGTGGTTGGAGACATAGGAGAAAGTTGCAGGATGAAGAGACGGGGGAGGGGATTGAGGAGGAGGATGCAAGAGAGGAGGCTAGGGGCGAAGGGCCCAGGGCGACGAATATGTCGAGGATGACGTGGCATGGTGTGTTGAAGATGGTGACGAGCTTTCCGTGGTGGGATATTAGTTATGATGTGGCTTTGACTTTTTTTATTGGTATGTTTGTTCCCTCCTGTTTTGGTTGATGGTTGACTACTGCCGCTTGAAGAGCCTTTACGGCTCGGGAATGGGAATGACTGGAGTTGAAAAACAAGAAGACTAGTTACTGACATAACCCAACAGCCGCCATAGCAAGACTCATCAACGGCTTCTTCGTATACCTCCCCCTCGCCGCGCCCAAATCCGAATTCAAAGGCGAAGAGACCGGCGCCGGCGCCGGCACCACCCGTCTCATCACCTGCACCCTCATCGTCATCTCCTCGGTCCTGATGATGCTCGAAGCCGTCAACGAAAACCGCGCCGACTGCTTCGGCTGGGCCCTCGAGGAAAGCCTCGCCGGCAACGCCGACGGTCCCCGCCTGCGCTCCCACGAGCACCAAGGAACACGCTGCACCCACCACCATCAGGTCCGCTACGTCCTCCTCCGGGGGTCTAACCCGAGGGACCAGCGCAAAGCCGTCGTGGTCCCCGTCTCTGTCTCGGTACCCGATGACCACAACCTTCATAACGAGAAGAAGGATGACCCGGATGCATCTCACAGCGACGGCGATGGCTCGGACTCGGATGACTCTGCCGACGGCAGCAAGAAACCCGATAACAATGGCCACAACAACCACCAACACCCCTCGCGCGCGTGGAAGTGGTGGCCGTCATCCGACGAGCTCAAGTCGCACTACTTGCACGAGATCGGTTTCCTGTCTTGTCTTTTGCAACTAATCGGAGCCATCATTTTCTGGACCGAGGGTTTTACTGGGTTACCCTTTGCCCAAAACAACTTGACCACGGGGGCGTTGGACGGGTCGTACTGGCTACCCCAGGTGGTCGGAGGATTCTTCTTCATCGTCTCGGCGGTCTTGACCATGGTGGAGGTGCAAGACAAGTGGTACATCCCGGCGCCGAATCTGCTGGGGTGGCATATCGGTGCTTGGAGCTTGGTGGGATCGTTGGGTTTGACGGTTACGGGGGCGCTGGGGTTTGCGCAAGATGCTGGGCCGCAGTATGGGTATGCGGTGGGGATGGCTACTTTTGTGGCTAGTTGGGCTTTTTTGGTGAGTTAAACTGCCCCGGTTCTGATGGAGTGTGTGGATTGGGGACACGAGATGAGGAGACACTCGCTTTTTGCCGGCGAGTCGTTGAAGGAAATGCGAATGCTAATTGTTGTTGATAATTTAGATCGCTTCAGTGATTCTGCTGTTCGAAGCTTTGAACAAGTATCCCCTTACCGTCGGTACTGCGCCTCCTTCACGCGAGCCTCATATCCGCCCGGATGCAAAGCAGCAGACTGGGGCTTAGGGGGATGGAGTGGGATAGACCACTTGGCTGTACAATGTTGGTCCAGGCTCTTGGGAGGTTTCGTTAGACGGAGTATTAGAGGTTTAGAGAAAAATTTTGAAATACATGATCTCGAAGTCGTCGTGGGCCATCGTGGGATTGATTCTGACAGAAGATTGTTCATCGCACATATGATACCATTTTTGAGACAGCGACGATGACATTACTAGAGACAGCGTCCTTAGAAAATTCCATCCTAGACGCTCAACGGCGAGCAGGAGTGGTTCATCAATTCGTGACTGTTCACAATGTGAAGGATGTGGTTGTTCTCTGAAGGACGAGTCTCCATGTAAACTAGAATAGTAGTTGATGTAGAGGACCACATTTAATTTTCATCTTGACAACACACGCCAATCTCCGCCAACTCTTTCCAGTGAAAGACGCACACATCAACAATACAAAAAGTGGCAATACAGGAGTCTAGATGGGATCACAAATCTCCCTCCGCCAGAAACAGATACTCTTGCTTACACATTGCAGAACAAAAGTCCGTTTGACACACTCACCGCCGTCTACCCAACCCAACGATACTCCCCTAAACAAAGGGCAATCCGCTCCATTATCCCAAGAGGGCAGAAATGATATTCAACAAGCTGCCCAGGGGGGGAAAACCCAACGGCTCTCCGATATCGCAGGTTCTCTAACCGCCACTGTCATGTACATGAAGCCGCCTTAAGGCCGTTTGATAGACCTTGAATCTCCCCTTCCAACTCAGGACGAAGAAAACGCGGGGAAGCTTGTCCTTGCTAAGTGTTTCGAATATTCATGATAGTATGCCTGTTGGGATCGCATTGAGGGTGAGAGTCGAGAGGTGATGGGTCACGTAGCGTTTCTTTAGTGTCTGACCTTGACGCGGGAGATATGCCGTTCAGATGTGAGATGTCGAATAGACTGGAATAAACTTTTCAAAATTCGTCACAGCACTTGTGACTATCAGAGTGACCCAATGAGTTGTCAATAAACTAAATAAATGTTCCAGATTTCGCAAAGTCTATTTGAACCTTGAAACTTTGAGGTCTGGAAACATGGAGCCTGAGACGTGTTTGTCGAGCACTTTATCTGAAACAAAGCAGTGTCTGATGAGTTAATTCAGCATCAAAACCAAGATAAACAATATCAATCAGATAAACAAACCGTTGCAGAAGTTGTTGTCCATGTGTTTCCATAGAAAACGTAGCCCCTCTGATATATTCTATCGCCCTCTTTCTTGCGACCTTCACAGTGAGGTTTGGAAGACGTTCATCATCTGGGGCATCACGTCCTTTGCGACTCCATTCATACGTCCATGGGCACAGTTCTCTTACCTCTCGCCTCACCTTCGCCAACGGTCTTGAGTAGTGCTCATGTCAGTATGCATACTCGCTCAAACGTCCCCAACCCGTTGACCTCAAAAGGGGCTCCGCGAGTCCGCGTACAGCCAGACATGGAGCGTTGTAGGGTAGCAACCCCCGGGAAATTTATGTTGCCCTCTGCACGACACCCCTGAAATGTTTTGCTCGGCTCTGCAGGTACAGCCCACAGGCGACAGGAGGACCCATCATAGAAGCTTCAACCTGCATTAGCAGTGCCGGACTAACGCATGCAATGCGCTGCAGTTGCAGTGATGCACGCTGACGCCGCGACTGATGGAGGATTTTTGGATGATCGCTGGAGTGACGGGGTTGATGATCATTCACCCATGATGTGATGGGGTTTTGGGGGTTTGTTGATTGAGAACATGGAGTCTTGTAACCTGTCAGAAATACATGTGCAACTTGACACCAACGGTTCGAGACTTCTCGGGAGCCGACAGACAGACAGCCCTGTGTCAACTTGTCAAGAGAACCAGCGAGGCGTGCCAGGGCCCAGGGGTCATGAAGAGTTCGAGAACGATTGGCCAATGCACTTTTCCTCACTCTTCAGATATTCAGATTGCTGAAAAGGAGCACAGAGTTCATCCCATCAGCCCAGCCCAGTCCAGGTTCGCCAGGCAGGCCAGGCAGGCCAGCCCAGAGTTCAGACGCAACACATCGCACCGTGGGAAATGCAAAGGGCTTCGAGGCGAACCGGGACGCATCCTGTTACACCGAGGAGGATGAGGAACCTTGGGAATGATTGTAAACCTCAAAAGGTAAGGTATGCGGCGTTCTCCTTGGGAACCTTCGTTAATCTCCCGCGGATGCCGCAACGGCACAGCCAAGTTTGTAGGGACATTCGCTAAAGGTGAGGTTGTTGGCTGTGTCGCACATGCAACCCAACACACGCAAAAGAAATAATATTTCCTTCGTTTTTTCTCCAACTGTGACGACCGTGATTTGCTGGTCCTTTCTCATTTTGGCCCGTGATGGTTCACGTTTGTTGCTTTTTTTGGTGGATGTTGGGCGCAGTTGGCCGCTGCAGTGACGCGGGGTTAGTTCTCTCTACAGGTGCTATCAAAACCAACCCATAGGCTGGACCTTGGTTCAGGAATGTTGGTGATAAGGTTGAAAGTTGACGATCAGATGTGATTGTCTGTCGAATCTATCTGTGAGGACGGGATCATCATATCGCAGACACGGCATGTTTCTGCGAGTGGGTGTAGGAATGTAACCCCAGACGGTTTTTGTGTAACGACAACCGACATCTTCAACATCTGTCAAAATAAATGTCTCAACTGCTCGGCGGTCGTCTTTCGGATGATAGGTAATTGTTTGGCGGATGTTCGCGCGGGCTGAGACTCGGACGCGGGCGTGGCGTACCGGTACTGTCCTTTTCCAGTGCCATTGGCCATTGCACAAATCTGCCCTCCGCGTACCTGCAAAGGTCAGCACAAAGTTGTCGTCGCCGCCGCCGTCATCGAGGGTTTCATCCGTGATGCTCTGCCGTGATGAGGAAGCTAGGGGCTCAAAGTGATGGTTCCCCACTGCTAGAACTTGTGATCGGCGGTCGCCCCATCACAGAAAAGAGATTTGGCTGGCGCAATGGCAGCATCTTATTGGTCAATCGACTTTTTGCGCAGCCGTCGCTAGCCCGGAACCAGAAGGGTTTAGTGCTCAGAGATCCTTTGGGAGCATCAGTAGAGCAGAGCCATTTCTGGATGGCGAGCTTCAGCCTGGGATAGCTTGGCGAGCCTCAGTTCCGGTGATGGTAGGCCAGGCCCTTCAGCCAATAAACTCGTCACACGAGCACTTGTGTCCTTTCACTGGTGCAGGGTGCGAGGTCGCATCTCCGATGTGATGGAGACGGCCGAGGCGTGGTGACGATGGGCAAGATGATGCGTCAATATGTGTCAATATCATCTCTTGAAGCGAGAACGGGACGGATTCCAGAAACACCGAGGTTATCCTGAAGGACACCTTGGACTTTCGATGAAACGACAACCCATCTTGGCGCCCCGCGTGATATTCCACGACGGCTTGTGATATTGTTTCCCGTGGGTTTACATCGAACACGCCATGTGTATCATCAGCACAGACGGGTTCGTCGTGATGTTACGGAGCCGCTTCCGTTCAGAGGGTTTTTAGGCTATCGGTTCCTGGCAAGGGCTGGGCTGCTTCCAGAGCTGGGCCTCCCGGCGTCCATTTCCCTGGCGTTTCCATGGCTTCCACTGGCCAGACGAGGCCGAAGCCAGGAACCAACGCCTTGGGAAGCTCCCTTTACTTCCAGCTGTCATGGTGGCCCCTGTCAGTGATTTAATGACCTCTTGCGCAAGCACTGTAGCATACTGTCTCACCTGTGCAGTATCAGGGGCAATGGACTGAAGATATTGAAGTGCCAAACAGAGTTGATGAAGAATCAGAAACCACGAGGAATTGAGACAGAAAGAATTCTTCCATCAAGGTTACAGACGTTGAGATTAGGTGTGCAACCGCCAAATTTAGCGAGCCGGCCTTTCTACTGTTTATATGAACCGCGATGGTCCGTGAGCTGCTGCCCAGGGAACGGGGGGAGGCGGAGAGGGAGAGGGGAACCCCAAAAATTGTGTGGTACACTGCACAGGGGCACCTCCTGCAACTTTTTTTTCTCACCTCGACGGGACCTTCACCTTCCCATCCACCTGTCATCGGATGTCGGTCGCGCTTGTGTCCTCGGTTGAGACCTCTTTCGGCGCACATGCCCTCATGGGAAGCCGTGATGATGGCCAATTTCTGGCCTTCTCGCGCGCCTGGCGCTTCCCTCCGCCAGCGAGATTGACCTCATTGAGGTGAAGTGCCTGGCTGGGGGGTCCGGTGGCCACGGGGCAACCACGATCTCTCTGGAGGTTAGCGCACCACAGAGTGCACCTCCTGGGTCTCCCCCCTCCTACACCACAAGAGAAATCATGGCACCCTTGATATGATCTTTCCTCGTACTGTCGGGTACTGTACAAGCAGTTCGGTACCTCACCCTCCCACTCTCCCACCTTGCCCTTCAAGCCTCTAGGCTCGATTAGGGTAGAAAGTACTTAACCAGCCCATCCAGTGCTTCCACTCACTCTGACCAGGGCCTTGCCTCCAAAGAGACGACGAGTGGAAAGTGGTTCTTGCTCGGTTTCTCCTGGGGACCTTGTCACAGTCTCGTTAAGTACCTTGTATCGATTCAGTTTTTGTTCTTTGCGACCGGGTGCGCATTGTTCTTTTCGCCCTTCGAGGTCGCAGCCGAGTTGTGCTCCTCTGGTTTCATTCTCCATCCCGTCGTCCATCTCGACCGGACTCTGGACTCTCACACGCCGACGTTGAAGTGGACTAGACGTTGCGCCTTGTCTGTGTTCCGACTACTGCCCGTTACATCCCGTCGTCCCTCCTTGTGTTCGGGTAGTGCTGTGTCGGTGCGCATCTGTCAAAGGCTTCACACATTGCGCTTTGCCTCACAGCCTAGAGGTAGTCTTGTCAGACCTTCGGTTCCCGTACATTCGCTTCTTAGGTTGCCTGGGCTGTGTCTTGGTCATCGACCTGTCTCGGTCTTGCTGCCGAATCGCCACTCCTTTACGCCATAGACGCTTGGCCTTGAAACGGTGCTGGATTTTCAATTTTTCATCAAGGACTACTTTGGAAAACACCAAGTCGGCTTCGCTCGCTTTCTCGTTGAAGAAAGTCCTGTTTTTGCTCCGATCTGCGTCCGGTATGTACCCGTCACTCCACGTCTCGATGCCCGTTCTCTCCGCTTCTACCGGGCAGTTACGAGCTTCCACTACTTGGACTACTTAAATGTTGTGAACCACGAGGCTCCGAAGCCCCTCTTTCTGTGCACCATATCGAGGGGTCAAGAACATCTAGAATCTCCATGTTATCATATTACCAGCAGTACCTTCCCTTAGTACCCCGTGAAACGCTGACCAAAGGAAAGACTCTAGGCAGGACCGACTGGACACTGGATACTGGCTACAGCTTCCTCACCTCGACCGAAATTCGGGTTGTTTCACCTTCATTCTTGACTTCAAGTTGTCCTTGTTCAGCTGAGCAAACAAGTGCACTCCTTCCTCGAGTTTGGACGATTGCCATTTCCCCCCGATAGCGGATCACCTTGACGTCCCCGCCATCAACTCCATTCGTTCTTGCCAGTCGCCCCAGGTGGAAGTCGAAAACGACCCGCTCACTTATCTCATCTCATTTACACACCGATTTGCGGGCTCCACTCGTTCAAAGAAGCCCGGAAAGTGCAAACGATTCGGACGGCGGAAACAGAGGAAGTCGATACCCACGAGACTGGGTTTTCCTGTGGGTGCCAAATATAATCCACGTTCTACCCTTGACTACTCCAGAAATCCCCGATTTCCAAATTACCCACCCACCAGACCAAGAGTCTCGACCCAGGGGCAGTTCAGCCAGTCATAACAGTCTTCAGTCACCCTCGTCATTAACTGCTCAGCACTGACTGCCGTGCTCTTCTGTCGATCTGGTCGATCTACACGATTGGATTACCTTTCTTGGTCCTTCAGAGATCAAATATATACCTTCTGCTCGGATTATTCGGGCTTTGTAAGTCAACTCTCTTCAAGGTCCGAGATCTTTTTTTTTCCACCGGACCCTCGTTGCTTGGAGGCACTTGCGTTCTTGTCCCCGAGTCAGAGACATGTTGCTTGGTTACAAGTTTCTTTCTCGACTGGCATCATACAATATGTAGCCGCAAGAGGGTGTCTTCTCAAGAAAATTCAAGTTTCCAAACTAACAAATCAGCCACAGACCACACCGGAAATTTTCACGTGAAGACGTTCAGTGGGCAGATTTTGAGCCCCCTTTCTCCTTGAAACTGCAACGGTAGTTCGTATCTTTGACAGAGACGACATCTCGCCTCGCCTTGTGTGGGGGTATCTGTTTTTCCAGGTATGATTTTTCGCGAAGCCCGGTCATTAATCCTTCATGCACCCCCTGGCAACGTGACATAGACCGGAGCAGCCACCCTGATCGAGAGCTGCTGACCCGTGAAGCGTCTCTCTAGAGCTGGCCCTTTCACATTCATTGGATTCCGTTTTTGTCTCCACGAGGCAACAAACACTCTGGACAATCATTATCGCGGGACCTGAAAGACGACAAACGACTCTGCCGACGACGACTGCAAGTAGACGGTGGGATGGCGATGCTCTGAGTTCTGGTTGTTGCTTGCACGAGACTGCAGCTCTTCAACACTGAGGATATTACAAGCAGTTCACCATGGGCGCCTGGGAAACTGAGGATGAGGGGACCGACCCGGTGGTGTCGTTGCCGATCCGCAACCCTTCGATACGCAACCGTTCTCGAAATCAATCCCGAGCTTCGCGCAAATCCAGACGGTCCACCACACCAACGAATAGGTCGGGGAGCTCCTCCCCGCCACCTTTGCCCGTCGATTGGAGCGACAAGGGATCCAAAAGAGCATCCAAAAATATTAGCATAGACGACAACATCGGCATTCTTGACCCACTTGACCCACGAAGATTTACCCCTACGCTTCACGCCAGTCTAGTCTCGGAGATATTGTCTTTGAGACGTGATCAGGAGGAGAATCTTAAAATCATCGAGGGCCTGGAGACGTCGCTGCAAACAACCCGAGAAGAGTCCGAGTCCTTGCAAACGACGCTTTTGAATACTACCAAGGAAAGCCGGTCATTGAAACGCCAACTAGCACTTTTGGAAGGCGGGACCTCTTCTGCATTAGATCAACTGGCCAAAGAGCGCGATGAGGCTGTGGAATCTGCGAACGACACCAAGAAGAGGCTAGAGACCACCCAGAAGAAACTGCGAAACCAGGAGGAGGATATCGAGCGTGTCCATCAGCAATGGACAAAAGAAAAGGATGGGTGGGAGGAGGAGAAGCGGAAGCTTGAGGTCCGTATTCACGTCGCGGAAAGCCGCCTGAAGGTGGTCCTTGATGAGGTGACTGCGTTCCAAGCTGCGCAGACAACCGCTAGCCTTGATCGCCCTAAGAGTGCGGCGGGCAGCGAAACCGGACAAGAAAACGATGGCGCAAGCGTTCGAACTCTCAGCTTGACCAACAGCATCCGGTTCTCTACTGTCAGCGCAATGATGAAGCCGAATGGCAATACCTTGGCAGACGAGCTTGGTTTCGATGGAGACTTCGAGGATGAAAGCGACTACGGAGGCCGTCAGAGTGTCTTGTCTAACCGTGGACACATGCGGACCACGAGCCGTGACAGTGCGTTCGTGCGGTTTTCAAGCCGTGAGAGCGCCCACATGCGAAATGGAAGCCGCGATACCCTTTTCTCCATCAAGACACACCGACGACACCAAAGCACCGAAAGCCTTCTCAGATCTGCTAGCATTAATCGTGGAAAGCTGTCTCTGAACCAGTCCACCCTCGATAGACTGGAAGGCGCCGTGATCAAGGAGGATGAGGAGTTGCAGCCGCAAACACCGAAGCCAACTTACGTCGATACTGGAATCCAATACTCGCCGCCTCCTTCTCCCAAGATTGCACAAATCGAACCTTCGACTCCTCAACCGGCCCTAACCCTTTCTCACCAACTATACGAGAGGCCATCTGATGTTGATAGCCCACCTCGTACCGACACTGAATCTGAGCCAAACCGAAGAAGAAAGAGAGTTCACCTTGGGGGTCCGTTGTCAATCAAGCCACCCAACACACAAAACTTGATGGTGAACGGAACGACGCAAACCATGGCAGAGCCGCTTAGCCCGCCTCGAACACCCAAGTTGCCAGTCCAGGAATCACTGCCCACACCCCAAGCGACGCCATCTACTATGGTAACTTCCTCCACGCAAACCGATATTCCATCTCTTCAGCTGCAGCCACCCGGTGTTGAGTCTCCCTCATACACTATCCCCAGTATCAGCATTATCCCTCCCTCAAGCCGACCTGCGTCACCATGCGAGCCACTCCTGCCGCCCTTATCTAAGGACTTCGGCTGTCAGGTCTCCATGCCTGCTCGTGTGTCTATGCAGTCGACTGCAGTGCAAACGGATGAGATTCGGGTTGACTTGCGGCTGGCTAAGCTCCCCGCCCACTTGCATCCCTCCGCCCTCATCTCTAGACCTGTTTCACCAGCCGTTTCGTCCGTTGATCACCACACCGAGGAACCTAGACAGTTCACACCAGTACCAGGAAACCTGCCACCTCGGAACCCAAGGCGACTGACCAACAAGCCCAGTGTGTCCGAGATCCCATCCTCGCCGCCTATCGCAGCATCCCCGGTTTTGGAAGATATGCATGACACCTATCCTGGGAACAATGATGATGGGCCGCTGTCTCATTATGACGCTCCTATGCGAAGACCGAAACGGATTAGCAGCTTGTTTGCCGGTTTCAATGGACATAGCTCGGACGAGGAAGATTTCATGAATCCGGCGGATCAGAGCGATTCGGAATATTGCACAGCTTTATCTGCTCCAAAGCCCATGACCAATTCTAGCTTTGGCAAGCGTAGCTCTGGAAGCACTGCACAAATGAGCTCACCAGAGCAGACCTTCTCCCAAAGGACCGCTGGAGTACGTAACACTCTTCGCGGACTTGAAGAGGAGGAGAATGACACTCCAGATGTCTTTGACTCTGTCAGCATTTTCCATCAGCGCGATAGCCGCGATTTGAGCCTGGTTCGAACTGCTTCCAGGCGCTCAGGACGATCAACCGCTTCCAAGGCAAATGGCATGCGCAGGGCTGCTCTGATACAGAGCGGCATCGTATCCCACCGTGACTCCTTGGCAAGAACCCCAAGCTTTACTACGGACGCTGCGGAACCGCCATTCCCTATTCCAAAACGTGCTAGTTCGAGGAAGCCTGTTAATACCAGTAGCCCGAGCGAGGGCCGCGGCGTAACTCCTATGAGAAGTAACGAGGGGGGAATTCACAGGCGAGGTTCAAGTCGTGGTCCTTATCGGGCAAACAGCATCCGAAAAGCCCGTCCGCCATCGGCAATCTCGCGTAAGAGAAGCCAGCGGCGCACAAGCCGGTCTCCTCCACCCTTCATGCCCCCAACTCAAGCACCTGACAGCCCTGATTTACCTCCTCTGCCGCGCAACTCTATCAGCAACCCCAAGAAGACAGATCGGTCGCAACGGTCGACAACGATGGCGAACATAGACGATCTGCCAGGTCGGCCTGCGAGTACAAGCTCGAATCAGTCGACGAGTGTGGTTGATGCTATTGCCAAGACGATGGTTGGAGAATGGATGTTCAAATATGTCAGAAGACGGAAGTCGTTTGGCATGACGGACAGGAATGGCGATGACAGCAGCAACGACCGTCACAAGCGATGGGTCTGGATAGCCCCCTATGAGCGCGCGATCCTCTGGAGTAGCAAACAACCTTCATCTGGGAGCGCGCTGTTGGGCAAATCGGGACGCAAATGTAGGTTTCCTTTACACATGCTTTGAACTGACATATGCTAACTTCACTGTGTTTCTAGTGGTCATCCAGTCTGTTCTTGACGTGAAGGACGAGAACCCAGCCCCCAAGGGATCGGGTCCGCTTTTCGACAGATCAATCCTGATTTTGACGCCACAAAGAGCACTGAAATTCACGGCAGTCAATGCTGAACGACACTATCTCTGGTTGACGGCGTTATCGTTCTTGGCTCATTCGAACCAAGCCATTCCCGAGAACCTCGCGGTCCCAGACCCGGACCCGCAGCCTGAGGTGTTCGAGCTGCCTAAGCCCAAGCCGGCGGCCGTACCGCCACCAGTACAGGTGCCCACATCCGTACCGGTTCCTAAGCCCAAGGCGCGAAGACCTATTCGTGATTCTATTCGGTTGACAAAGGCGAAAGCAGCCCTTATCCAAACGGAACATGACAGAAGCTTCCCACTACAAATGGATGAAGACAGTGCCGTGCCCCCAAGCATCCCGACCTTCCGACCTACACTAGCCGAGTCTTGCAACTTTAACCCGGTGGTAATGCACAGTCGTGAAGAGTCGTATGATTCCACCATACCCCCTGCCATTCCTCGCTTCAACGAACGGAACCTGCACCACGCTGCGCTGCACAATCGCAAGCGTAGTAGCACTGGTGGCTATCTTCCACCGCCGATCTCATATCGAGGATTCTCCGGACCGATGGATGGTGGAAGCTCCCATGCGCCGTCTGATAGTACAGCCGGCATGAGTGTTGCCGGCTCGTCCGACATCTTCAGCAATGCTGGAGCACCGAGCGTTATGGGATCTAGCATCCTGGGCTCAAGTGGCATGACATGGGGAACCGGGTCTGTCTCCCGTGTGTCGGAGGCGTCGAGTCGACCTAGTGCTCCCAACTTCTTTGACGCGATTGGAACTGTGCGTATGGAAGCATTCATACAGCCAATGGCCTTCACCAAATACGATGACGACCAAGAGAGCTATCGTTACATGGCCCGCCGCCGAAGCAAGGAGTTCCGAAGGAGACACAGCCGAAGCTGGCAAAGGGACAGCATTCTGAGTGGAAACACTCGGATCACTCTCGGAAGCGATCCCATTGAGGACTATGGGTACGACAGAGACGACCCGTTCAAGGGGTTTTAAGAAGGTTATTTAAAGCATGGTGTTGGAGTTTTATACTCGTTGCCTTTTTTGTGCAACCCATTGCTGGCGCTCATTTATTTCCTTATGTTTATTTTTGTTAAGAGTTCGGAGATGCGGAAAAGTTGACGGCGGACACTTTGTGAGCAGGATAAGACTTTGATTTCTTAAACCATTAACCACCTACAACACCAGGCAGTGGCAAGATTCAAAACGTTAAGAGGACGCAAAGATTTACGGACATTGGAGTCCAACATAACCATAACTTCTAAAAAGGAGTCCCTCGAAAAGGAGGAGGCTGTGGAAGGCAACGGCACAAACACTTACTCCGAATCCTCACATACTCACCACACACCAACCTCATATCTCGTTTATTTTCCTTCTAATTTCATTTCTCATGCATCCACTTGGAGGTTGTTTCTTTATATTATCAAGGCATGTGTATACAACTGTACCTATGTAGTCAACGGCGACGGCGAACATGAAGTTTACAAGCTCATTTGGAGCATTCAAACTCAAACAAGTTTAGGGGGAAATCACCAGCAACCCCGATTCAGGAGGAGGATGGATCCGATCTTAGGATCATAGCCACGATGCGTCCGTTTGTGGACGTTTCAAGGGCAACAGCAAGATAGAAATAGATTACTGTACAAGTTCATTACTTGATCAACTTGCCTTCTCAAATATCCAAGTGACAAGATGTGTTGAAGAGGGCCATCTCGTCTTGTTTCGAGACCGAGGGTTGAAGTCCTAGAGTGTAAAAGTCATGCGCCACACGGGGCATTCAGACAAAGTGTTCCTGTAAGTCCCGGGTATCACCAGCCACGTCATGGCGGGGCCTTTGACGCTGCATTCAGGGGGCAGTGTTGTTTAGGGGCGCATGGGGCGGTTTTGGGTCCCGCAACTCCTGGCCTGGACCCCTGAAAAACGTCCCGCCTGGGCCGCTTAACACTAACCTGGAACCGCATGGCAATCCACCAACATTGGCGAAGTCATCACCAACCTGAACACTCCAAAGTTCCAACTCCCGCTCGCTCTTAGAACAGCCAACTTAATATGATCACCAACTCCGCTTTTGCTTGACCTCTATTGATTCTACTCTTCTTCTTTACGTTTTCTTCCCCATCCAAGCTTCCCTCGGAACTTATCTAATTGACCATGGACGACCTCTCCGGCCTCGACTGGTCCGCGTCCAGCAACAGCAACAGCTCCAAGCCGAATCCCCCCAAGACCACGACGACTCCCGCCTTCACCAGCTTTCCCGCGATCCGCCCGACACCGTCCCCGTTCGCATCCGGCCTTAGCACGCCCGTGTTATCGACTCAGGGCGCCGGCGCGATCGCTCCCAAGTCCAACAACAACCCGTTCTCGAAACCGGCGCAAGACAGCTTCAGCAACCTCGGCAGCCTCGTCAACTTCGGCTCATCCTCCGCCCAGAGCACCGCGAAGCTAAGCCTGAAAGAGCAACAAGAGCGACTGGAGGCCGAACGGCGCAGGAAAGAGGAGGAACGACGACAACAGCTTCAAGCACAATATGGAGGGCTCGATGCGCTGGGACAGCTGGGCAGTGGTGGGAGCAACAGCAGGACGACGTCACCTGCGTTTGGTCTTGGGGGGCCTACGTCGATCCCGTCCCCGGCGATCTCGAGGGTCGCGAGCCCGTTGAACCCGACGACGCTGAACCAGTTGAACATGACAGCGAAGAAGCCGAGCGATTCGGATGACGATCTGTTTGCGGCGTTCAAGGCGGAGACCAAGGTCGATAATGCGAGCCATTACCCCCCGCCGACGGTGTCGAGTCCTCCACCGGTGACGGGCCTGACGGCGAGTGCGCAGCCGAGGTTGGATCTTTCGGATCCATCGGCTTGGGGGGCGGCGAAACCGAGTACACCTGTGCCTGTGCCTGTGCCTGCACCTGCACCTGCTCCGGCGCCGGTTAGTACGACGAACACGGCGTTTGCGGGGCTCGATGATGACGATCCGTTCGGTCTTGGGGAATTTAGTGCGGCAAAGACGAGTGCGCCCCCGCCGGCGCAGTCCGCCCCGGCTTTCGACGACGAGGATGATCTACTAGGCGACCTAGCCAAACCCGTGGACCAGGTAAAGAAGCAACAGCAACAGTTACAACAGCAACAATTACAACAGCAGCAGCAAAGACAGCCACAGCCACAAGCGGCCAGACCATCATTCTCCCAAACGCGAGAGCCAGGCAAGCCCATTGAAGACGACGAGGACTCGTCTTCCTCCGATGATGAACCCGAGCGGCCATCCGACGACCCCTTCGACAGGGCAGTAGCCCAACTAGTCGACTACGGATTTACCCCCGAAAACGCCAGGAGGGGCCTAACGGAGAGCGGCGCCGGTCTAAACGTTCAGGCGGCGGTCAACTGGTTGCTTGACGACGCACATAGGCAGGCGAAGGAGGAGGCTAGGGCTAAGAATGGTGGCGGCGGACAACAGCACACCGGACGAAGCGAGGAACGAGGAGCAAGCCAGTCTCGCGCTGGACGTGGTGGGCAGGGAGGGCCTTCGTGGATGAGGGAGGAACAAGAGCAGCAGGCTGAGAGGTCTAGGAGTAGGGATAACCGGTCGCCGGCTTCTCTAGCTGAGGTGGACTTTGCCAAGACTGCGGCAGCCGTGGGCACGAGTTTGTTCAAGACGGCGAACAGTTTGTGGAAGACGGGGCAGAAGAAGGTGCAAGAGGCTGTGAAGGAGTTCCAGCATGAGGGAGGCGATCCGAACCAGCCCAAGTGGATGAGGGAAGCTGCTGAGTATGAGCAAGGGGGTAGGAGGGCGCAGGCGCCGAATGTTACGGATGAGGCCATGATGTTGGAGGGAGGTGGCCGGCCGGCACGGAGGCCGGAGTCTACGAGAGAACAACGCCCGGCGGAACCCCGGACTGCTAGTAATGGCCCGCAACGGCATGCTTCTCCCGTGCCCCGGTGGCAGCAACAGGCGCCGCCTCCGGCTTCGCTTGATCCACGGTCGAGGCTCAGCAAGCAGGCTATTGAGGAGCAGAGCTCCCAGGCTTATGTCAGTCCTGCGCGCAGAAAGAAGGCCACTCCGCAACCGCAACCGGAAGCTCCTCCGCCAGCACAATTCGAGGATGAGGATCTTCTATTCGGCTCTTCAGGCCCGTCCAAGTCCCAAACCACCACCACCACCACACTTCCTTCCCGACCCGTCGCCAAATCAACCGCACCACCTCCCCCAGCTCCCCGACGCTCTCCCGCTCCTATACAACCCAAACCCGCCGCTCCTCCGCGCCAGATCCCCCCTATCTCCGCCATCGCCCTCCAATCCTCCACCAAGCACCGTCTCGAAGGCACCGCCCACTTCAAGCGGGGCGACTACGCCGCGGCACACACCTCCTACGGCGCCTCCCTCTCCGCCATCCCGTCCATGCACCCGCTCGCCATCCTCCTGCTCTGCAACCGCGCCCTCACCGCGCTCAAAGTCGGCGAACCCCGCCAAGCCGTCCAGGACGCCGACGCCGCCATGGCGCTCATCGGTCCCTCAAAGGGGGAAGGCGAGTCCGTCGAGGTGCAGACGTCCGAACATGGTCCACAAGAGAAGCGGGACATGCGCGACCTCTACGGTAAAGCCCTCACCCGCAAGGCCGAAGCGCTGGAGCAGATGGAGAAGTGGGCGGACGCGGAAAAAGTGTGGCAGAGTGCTGTCGAAGCTGGGTTGGGAGGACAGACGGCGGCGGCGGGGAGACAGAGGTGTCAGAAGGCTTTGGCTCCTAAGCCTGCTGCTGCTGTCTCTGCCCCCGCAGTTAAGAAGCCTTCTTCTGCCCCAGCTCGCCCCCGACCAACGCCCGCCTCCGCGGCGGCAAGTACGAGTCAAAAATCCTCAGAAGCAGTCCAACGTCTCCGTCTAGCCAACCAGGCCGCGGAAAAGGAAGGAAGCGAAAAGTTTGCTCTTGCCGACAAGGTGGATGCGAGGATCGCCAGCTGGCGCGACGGCAAGAAGGATAACTTGCGAGCGCTGCTGGCTAGTTTGGATAATGTGCTGTGGGAGGGGAGCGGGTGGAAGAAGGTCGGGTTGCATGAGTTGGTGGTGGCGAATAAGGTTAAAATTGTTTACATGAAGGCTATTGCGAAGTGTCATCCTGATAAGGTACGTTACCTCTCTGTGGTGTGGATTACGATGGAACTGGGGATAAGGATGGTTGCTAATGTGATTTTACTAAACAGATTCCGACGGATGCGTCGACCGAGGTTAGGATGATTGCTGGAACGGTGTTTGCTACGCTTAATGAGGCTTGGGATAAGTTTAAGAAGGAGAATAATATGTGAGGCGGCATGGTAATGAGTTGATGAGAAAGGGAAGGAGGATAGGAGTTGGAAGCATATATAAGCGTTTGATGCTCAGAGCTGCTTATCGAGTTATGGAAGCTATATCAGAAGGAAAGGGGCGAGCTACAAAGAACCCGGAGAGTTAATAGAGCTAAAGCTGCGTATGCGCTTCAGAGACGGCTGTTCACCTCAAACGGGGAAGGCAAGCAGTGATTATGAATGGGAAGCTCTGTGGTGGAAGAAGAAAGTTCATCATTATTATCCTCAGGAAAACACCATTGCCATGCCATGCTAATAAAAGGTATACCGCAAACCACCCTCTTGCTCAAAGTGCTTTGTCACTCTGAGGCTCTTCACCAATTCTTCACCATCATCCTCTCCTTCTCGTTTCCCCTTAACCAATTCTTCATCCTCCCTCACTCTCCACCCTCTTCTCTTCCCACGTGCCCCATGCCTAAAGCCCCAAACTAGCCCTCACACTCACCTTCACCCTCGTCTCGTATTCGCTCCTCCTCTCCCTCCACATCTTGGCCGCCTCCACGTTCGCCGGACTCTCGTCATTAGGCTCCGCCAACATGCTCATAACCGACAACAAGATCTTCTCGACGGACTGGATAGGTGACCATCTCTCCGAGGCAGTCTCGTAGTGGTTCGGGTCGTCGCCAGGTGGGTGGAGGATCGAGATGCAGACTAGACCTGAGGGGTAGACTGTTTTTGTTTGTTTGTTAGCACCAGTCCTGATTCCTGAGAGGGTGAGGGGGACAGAGGGAGAGAAGCTAGAAAAGGAAGTAAAGAAGGAAAAGGAGGGAAAGTGGTGGAAGGAGGAGAAGCACAAGCATACATACCATTAGGATGAAATACATCCCCCAAGAACTTCATGCTCGGCGGCATGTGCGGGTAATCATTCGGGAACTTGAGTTCTGCGGGAAACACGCCGCCCTCGAAGGGGGTGCCCTCGGGCCCTTGGATCAGGCATTCCCAGTGCAGCAGGTCGTCTTCGGAGATGGGGCCCGCGGTGATGCCTTCCGGCGGGTTGTTGGTTAGGGAGCGGTATTCTTGGAGGAGACGGCGTTGGGCTACGTTGAGGGACATTGCGATGGTGTTTTTGGGTTTGAGTCGAGATTAATGTTTGTTGGGGTCCTCGTATGTCGGGGTTGTGGTGATGGTGATGATCGAGACGCGATGCGGGCTCTGGCCTCTGGGGAGAGTGCCTCGGTATGTAGAGTTATGCGCTTTGGTTGTCGATGTGGAAGTCGCTTATCGTCGCAAACGATTGTTGTGTTGGGTAGGTATATGATAGTGACGGAAGTAGAATGTATTGGTCTACTTCTTGCAGGCTGTTCTTTGTTGTGTTGAAGAAGTCAACACCGGCATGAATCGATGGATGCAGGAGAAGCGCGGAGGACACACCTGCAGCGGGGTTGTCAGCGGCGCAGTTGCTTGACACGTCTGACGTCGGCCGCTCGGATGATTGGGACGACTTGGGAAGCTGCTGCACCACAGAGGGGACATGCCAGGGCCTGGGACCCTTCCAGAAGCCCCTACGGACAGGTACAGCCGGGGGTTTCTAGCGGCCGGGGGGTGCTGTTCTTTCCGGCCGGCAAACCCGAGAGCTTTTTACCGGCCTGTTATCGCAATTGGCTGGTGGTGGTTATCGCATCTGCCGTCCCATCTTCTTGTTTTCGGGTTTGGAAACTCGATGGCTCGTCGTCGACTGGGAGCTACACTCTAGCTTTCCAACCTCCCACCGAGTCAGCCAGCCATGCCGCCAACGCTGGGCCTACGACGGGCTTTACAGAGCCGCGGTCGCGGTCTCGGGTTTGGCCAGCGAACAACACCGTCGTCCGTATGTCTCTTCTGTTCCTTTGCGACTCGGCCTTCCACTCTTCCCACATCGTCACCACTCAACAAGCTCCGGCCGAGGACAAAACAACTTCTAGAAGCTGTCCGACCACGATACCAATCGACCGGCGCCACCCCGCTCCGACCCTTCATAAGCACGTCCTCCGATGCCGTCGATGCCGCCGAACCAATTGATCCCCGCAAAGACCTCGAGAGCGCCCTCCGCGACTTACAAACCCACGCACCCAACTACGTCAATCTCCCGCGCCTCCAGCTCGCCCTGCGCAACCTCAGCCAACAACCCGGCCATGAATCGATACGAGTCGCATTCCTCGGCCTCACCACCGGCGATAAGCCTCAACACACTGCCAGGGAACTTCTCCGCCTCGTTCTCGCCGATCCGCTGAAGTCCGCCGAAACCTGGGAAGCGCAACTCAAGGCCCACGACCCCTCCAAGCCGCTCATCGTACACATCGGCCCTCCCGAGGAGCAAGCCACGCCACTGTCGCTTGCCGCGAGCGAACACGTCATTCCCGAAATCACCGTGCCGTCGCACATCTACAACGATGCCAATCTCGAGATGCTGGTCATGGAGGCCGACTACGCAACCGTCGCGCAGGCGAGCGAAAAGCAGCCCCACGCCTTCGACGACGCCGTCCTCGTGCCCGCCGTCGACACAGCGGCTACCACAGCCGGCCACTCGGCGCCCATCGTCACGCCCGTGCACATGGCCGTGCTGGTAGGCGACGGCGTGCTGGGCGCCGCCTCGATCCTGTCGCTGCCCATCAGCCCCGAGGGCCAAGACACCATCACAGCCGTCGCCAACTTCAAGAAGATCAGCGCCGAAGACAAGGCCGCATGCCCGTCCCTGGTCATCACCAGCGTCGAGTCTGGTGCGCAAGGCCTCGACCTCTTCCGCGAGAGCGCCAGCAACGCCATGAAGTACGAAGCCCTCTGGACCGAGGCCGGCGTGGGACACATCAACAAGTGGCTGCGATCCAACGTGCTCTCGCGGACCGAGCAAGGGGCCACCAAGGCGCCCGTGCGCAAGCTGATCGAGTCCGTCCTGCGCAACGCCAGCGCGGCGCTGCAGGCGGCCGAGCACCGCGACATGAAGATCTCGGTAGAAGGGGGCCCGTCGCCGCTCACGGTCGCGCGCCTGAACCAGGCGCTGGCGGAGTGGGCTCAGGATGCGCACGAGGAGCTGCAGCAGCAGCTGGAGATTGCGTTTGTCGGCGAGGCGTGGAGGCAGATGAACTGGTGGAAGCTGTTTTGGCGGGTGGACGATGTGGGCATGCTGTCGTCCGAGATGGTAGCCCAGCGGTTCTTGCCCGAGGCTGAGAAGCGCTTGATCTTTTTGGCTGGCAGGCTCCACGAGGCGGGTATTACTACTGCTGGCGGGGACAAGCCGGTGACGTACTCTGGTCCGGCGGTGCCACCGTCGTTCCCTGAGGGCGAGAGCAGTGTTGCCACTACTACTACTACTACGGAATCAGAGACCAAGGGAACTTGGCCGGCACATATCCCCTTCACGAGGAACTATCTACAAGCGGAAACCGTTCCAGCTTTGCAAGCGCTGGCGCAGAAGCTCGTGCTACAGTCATCCACATTGGCGGGTGCCACCACGGCGCTTGGCGGCATGTCCTGGCTCTCTGGTTTCGGAATTTACGAGTGCGGAGCCATCGCCGCGCTGGGTATTGCGTTGAGCTTGAGGGGCTTGCAGAGGAGGTGGGAGAAGGCGAGAGATTTCTGGGAGGGTGAGGTCCGTGAGGAGGGACGCAAGGCCGTTCGCGCGACCGAGGCCAGCATTGCTGAGTTGCTGGATAGCGTTTCCCCTGAGGTCCCCGAGGATGTGGCGGTTGAGCTGGAGGAGCTGAAGGAAGCCAAGAGTGCCCTCAAGCGGGCCGAGGAAGCGCTTGCGAGGTTGAAGTAGAAATGATGAAGAGATGCAACAGATGCTCAAAAAGGGATCATACCAACCTACTGACTCAAGTTTTTTCCTTCTTGTGCTTATTTTCCCCACTGCCCTATCCTGTCTGTTAGTCCCTTAGGTGGGTATCCTGACGATAACCCCCTCCGATCCAACCAACCCTTTAACCAGCCACCTGTTGTATATATAGTCTACACCATTTACTCTCACCCGGAGGAGGACTGTTGCAAGCTCATCTCATGCAAGCCGCACACTTAGGGACAGGCGGATTACAACCGGACACAACAGATCAACTGGGCCACACTCCATGTATCATTAAGAAATCCGAGGGGAAAAAAAAAGGGGCACTGGACTTTTGTGGTAGATGTCTAAACTGTCAGCGTAAGCTGAGGATGGGATGCGTTGTGCGTACAACAACAAAATAGACAAAGACGATACGTACCCTGTCTATGCTAGAGCCAGGGCTAGAGGTTTCGCTTGTGGTGCGGTCCATCCGATTCAATCCATGTTGTGCTTGCTCCCTGGGCAAGGAATTCAAAGCCGGATGAGCTCTAAGGCGAGCTGCTGGTTCGCTTTTCGCGTCCTGGCTAGGTGCCATGGTGATGAAGCCGGGTTTTCGTTGCGTGCTGACTGACGGGTAGCGGCTGTTGCCCCGACCGACCATTTTCGTCCAGCTGGCGGAGCGTGTGAAAAACCCCTGGAAGCAGGACACGCCACGCTTCCCCCATGATCATCGCTTTGCAGCAGGCGAATACTTGTAGGCTGGCTGGCCTGGCGTCCTCCAACTCACTGTTCGTCCCAGACTCCCAGCCCTGCGACCCCAGCCCTCACTCCGGTAGTCCCTTCTCAACTCTAACCAGCCTCAACACACCCACCCTCCCTATCCCTCCTGTTCCTTCCTTTATACGGGCATCCAAGCTTTCGCATCACATTTTTTCTCTTCCCATCCATCTTGCTGCTGCCCCCTCTTCTTCGTGGAAAAGAAATCGAAGTTTGCTTTATTGTCGTCCCCCAAACGCCTAAAAAATATCAAAATAACGGTGGTTGTCGTTGCGCGCGGAAAAAAAAAAAAAAAAAAGAACCATAATACGCCGATTATTGTGCCCCAACATTGCATTTGTGTTGTGATTTTAATGTTTCTCGGTCTGGGTCTGGTTTTTGATGAGTTTGACGACGGGCGGCGTCGTCGTCTCCTTATCTGGCGCCGCCACGACCACCGGCGCGCGCCCTACTGACTGTCGCACGACCGCGGGCGAGACCGACACCGCGGCCGCGGACGTTGCGGGAGCGGAACATGGGGGCGTTCCTGTGGAAAAGAGAAAGCGTTAGCTTAGGCTTAGTCTGGTCTAGGACTTGGGATTTGGGGCTTTTCTTGGGAAGCGATTGGAGGAGATCGCAGCGGGTAGCAGTGATGGCCGTACCTCAACATATCCGGCACAATGAAGAATCGCACATGACTGCCGCGGATGTAGACTTGTTCGAGATGGCTGACGCGCCCGTCGCGGGCTGTGACGGTGATGTCCTTGAGCTGGACGTTCATGTTGTCCTCGGCTGTTTGGGGGGAGAAGCGCATGAGTTAGCATGGTTGGACAGTTTGGAAGATTGATTGGGAAAAGCAGTACCTTCAATAAGCTTGCCACGGTAGGTCTGGCCGGAGGTGATCTCGAGAGTGACGATATGACCCTGTTGGACAGGAGTAGTTGGTTAGCTTATGGCAACTGGCAACAAATGGTCTTTACTAACCTGAGCCTCGTTGAGAAGCTTGATAGGGATACCAATTGTAGAAGTCATGTTGGCGGCTGTGTGATTACGTCGTGGGGTTGGTTGTTTGTGGAAGGGCCTTGGTGGTTTTAGACTTTGGATGGTATGCCGTAAGTACAGGCGACTCGGTTCGCGATGATAGTGGATGCTATCAGTTGCCTTGACGTGAACGCGGCAGCCCTGTCAGCCCGGTGCTGCTGGGAATTTCGTCGGAGAACCTTGGTCGTCTCCAACCAGCGTTGGCAGCTGACGAACAGCTGGCAAGCCTCCAAAGGTAAGGTACGAACCGGACATTCCACTTGAGGTCCTTCAAAGTGTGGAGGTTTCCCCACACGCCTCTTCTGCGCTGTCCCCGCATTCAGTGAAACATGGTCTCACATTCAGTCATCGCTCATCAGTCTCCGAATTAAGTGATGGATATCAAAAACATCGTCATCATCACTGACTTTTAACCCATTGACATTAGCTGACCGGCCTGTTGTCATACGCTTGTGCTCAGTCAAAGTATAAAATTGTCTGGTCCAGCACTTCGAACTCCGTTATCGCTCAACTTTCCCGGTTCATGTTCCGAGTCGTCGCATAATGGCGGCCGTCATGGGATTGTCCAACGCATTGAACACAGCATCCCCAACCTTTTTCTAAACGAGGCCTTCTCCGATGTTCTATACGCTGAATTGTGTGCGGTCCTTCGGGTCCTCAATATCACCCGCGCCCCCGAATATTGGTCTCCGATGTTCCAACAAGCCAACCGTTGACGAGCATCTCCCACCTTCTCGACGGCAAGGACGGGACATGATGCAGGACAGAAAACGCTCTCGACGCTCTCCAGACTTCCTGCACGCGCCCCGAGATATGCCGTACTCGTTAATCATGCCTCCGTCCTCGCTCCCTGTCTGCCACGACCACGGCTTGCACGGCTACGTTGTCCAGCGAGTAAGGGTCATCCTGTCCCATTTTCAAACGTAGTGACGGGCTGGCCGAGTGGGCCGTCGGCCAATTGCTGTGTTGTCAGCTTGATGCCCAAACCTTTTGATAAAACCCCACGAACCGCCCCGGCACCACTGAATGGGTGAGGAGACGGTCTCAAAGTCGAGCTGCGGCAAGTGGGTTTGGCGTGGACTGATCTTCCATAGCATTGGCTGTTATAGGCTGCATTGCATGTGCATCGAGACCATGGTCTGTCTGCATCTGTGGTTGCTCCGAGTTTTCTGTGTTCAGAGGTCTCTCCACCCTCTTTTTATCTCTCTGTGTGAGCTGGATCGTGTGGTGATGGTGCGGTACTAGCAAGCTTTTTACAAGCTCAACGGCGGCTTCGGTTGCATCCCACCTCCCACCATCATGTCCTGGTGCTGTCCCTGATTGGACGTCTCACCACTTTCCAGGAGGTGTCTGCCAACTTCTAGCGCTGGACGCTACATGACATCTCACAGTTCCGAGTGGAAAATTCTTGTCTGGTCACTCCATCAGTTTCGGTAATTGAGGAGTTTACCCCTGGTGATGTGGGCTTCCCGTCTCCTACTTATGCCCGTCCGTCTCCCAGAGTGGGATCGGTTCGTTTTGTCACAAGATCCTTTTCTTGTGAATTGGACTACGTGGTCCTGTCAAACCGAGATCGCATCATCTTGAAGGTCGTATTGCCCCTGGCTTTCTTACACAAGGGCATCGTACCTGCTTTAGTCAACCCGAGGCCCACTTCTTCACGTCTCAAGGTATTGTCTTGTCTTCGTCATAATGCCAGGAAGGCATCGCGCCTATACCACCGAGCACCCGGCGAAGGGCTTCAAGTGGTTCCCATGGAAGCGGGAAAAGAAAATGGTGGTCGAGCCTGTGGTGTGGTCAGATTGGGTGTCAAGTGAAGATGGAACCTACTTCTATCGAGCCAGGAAATTGGCTGACGGTAAGCCCTTCACAAGCCTTCCTTGTTGGACCCCAGCTGATTTTTTGCAGGCACTTGGGGAGATTATGAATACACAGAGGGTTACTACATGGGAGGTTATGCGGGAGGGTATGCGGATGGGTATGCGGGAGGCATTGAGATACCCGAGGAGAAGGAATACCACCCGGCAGTTGCGGTCAGCCCTTGGAAACTTCCCGGAGAACCCGTTGCGATTATGCCAGAGAGTCCCGAGGTCATGGAGGATCCAGAACCTAGGTACGCGGAGATCGCAGAGTCAGAGCCCATTGGAGAATTCTCGGCCGCCGATGAGGAGGAACAACACCAAGGCACCACCACCAACGCCACCTCAGTCTCGGGTGATGATGTCTCCGAAAGGTTGTCAGAAGATGATGGCTATCGTGAAAGCGAGCCCTTGCCAACCGTACAAGAAGCGGAACCCATGGTCTTCACTCGCGAACCAGAACCCATTCGGCCCTTATCTCCCGTCCCATCGCTACGACGAGAGTACAAACCAAGGCGTAGACATACAACCGGGGCTGACACGGCCGTCCCATCCTCGCACCACCGCCCACGACTCCCCCAACGCCATACCTTCAGCGAAGGCCAAAAGGAAGGCCACAAAGACAGCCACGACCATCACCACCACAGACGCACCAAGAGCCACGACCCGAACCACAAACAACCACTCCTCTTCTCCATCTTCTACGCAGTAACCAAAACCCACGCCGGCCCCCAAACTCGGCGCATGCCCTCCTCCTCACCCCATCGATCCTCCACACCTGGAAAATCAACACGCACCTCCGGTACCCGCCCCTCAACCGCCACATCCTCCTCCTCCTCCCGCGCCCCCTCCGTTTCAGTAGGCAAGCATCAAGACAACAGCAGCACCAAAGTCGCCGTCCCAAAAACATCCACCCAGAAACCATCACCAACAACAACAAAAAAGCCACCGGTGGTCACGACGAAACAAACAACAAAACCGAAAAAGCCGCCGGTACCCACAGCAAGCGAGACCACCGTCGTCGTGCCCCTCGATACGGGCGTGCCGAGTGTGATTGCACCGCCGGGAAAAGCGACCATCACCAAGACCAAGAAGTTCAACTCCAAGATCAAGAGCGAGAAGGAGATGAAGGTGGATAGCAAGAAGATGATTAAGGGGTGGTTGGCGGGGATGGAGCCTGGGGCGGAAGAAGAAAAGAAGATGAAGGGCAAGAGTAGTGGTGGGAAGGAGAGGGGGAGGAGGATGACGAAGTGATGGACTGGGTTTTGAAAGGGGATGATGGGGTTTGTTGAGGGGCAGCAAACTGGCTGATGATTAAATGATTATGAGCTTATGAGGTGTTACGAGGACATTACGAGGCAATGATAATAGAGGGAAGGACGGACGGAAAGAGGGGGGGAATGCATAAAGGCTGTTGGGAGTTTTATCGTGTTTTGCATTTGTTTTTGTTTGTTTTCTTTTCGTTAACCACTCACTCCTCCTCAAAGGCATGGATGGCAGCCGGCAAGGCTACATGGGCACGGAGCGGTGGAAGTCTAGTTCGGTCCTAGACCCGGTCTGGTCCTATCCACTTTACCCGTATGGCCGTCAAGGAACATCGGAACTCGGAAGGAGCTAAAACAAGAGCAAGAGCAAGAGCAAGAGCAAGAGCAAGAGCAAGAGCAAGAGCAAGAGCAAGAGGAGAAATGGTCCTTATCATCATTGGGTTTGAGCAGGATATAGCGACGTTGAAGGGCGAAGGGCCGGCATATAGTCTACATGCTCGGTCCTCCTGTCAATGACGTCTTCTTGGTCCCCGATGAGGTCGGTTGAGCTTCTCTTCTTTTTTTTCTTGTGGAGCAAATGCTGGAGAGTTCCGGTGGTTTTGGTGGCTGTGGTTGTTGGTTGTGGGAATGGTTGACTGGGTACGCATAACCTGTTTCCTCTCCTATATTGGACAACAGGCACGAGATAGGTTGAGCGTGCAACGTGTGTTTCATTGTTGTTTACTTGGTTCAGGGATAGAATCGACAATGAAAGGTAATGACCAGATACCACTGTAATAAAATGCTTGTCTTTTATTATATAACGCTGGCTTCAGACCAAGCATCTACCGATTGATATATTCAGGTGTGGAAAGATATATAGCAAGCCGCTACCTGAAGCTCTGCTCATTTGGCTCTTCATTTTGCTCTTCATTTGGCTCTCCACATTTCCTTTCACCTACTCTTCACCTGCTCTTCAGCTTCTCTTCACGTTTCTTTTTAAATTCTCTTCACCTATCACTTTAAGTCTTCTTCACCTATTTATTACCTATTCTTTACCTCTCTTTTTACGTTTCTTTTTAAATTCTTTTTATTTATTATTTTAGGTCTTCTTTACCTATTTATTACCTATTCTTTACCTTTCTCTTCACTTCTCTCTTCACCTCTCTTTTCACCTCTCTTTCGCTTTCTCTTTACTTATCTTTTTACCTTCTTCACCCCCTCAACCCCCTTTCCACCCCCTCTTCAACCCTCAATCCTCATTCCTGGGTCCTCCTCTTAACCCCCTCCCTCTCACACCACTCCTCATCACTCATCCGAAACCAATCCGCCACGCACATCATGCCCGCCCACAAATCGCACTGAATCACCAAATGGACCATCTCCAATCCCAACGCATTAAACATCCTCCCCACCGAAAACGCATCCATGAACCCCAAACCATGAAACGCCACGTCCAACGCCGCCCCCTCCAACCCCATGCGCCTCGCCATATACGGCCTCGCCAGTCCCAACAAAGCCAAGCTCTCAAACGGCGTCATCATCGTCCTCGCGGCACACAGTCCCAACGCTCCCGCAGCGAGGACGTGCGGCAGGCGGGTGAGGCCGTTGTCTCTGTAGAGGGGGGCGTCCAAGCCTAGGGTTGTGCTATTATTGGTAACTGTCTGTTGCGAGTTCCGGTTCGAGCCAGAAGAGTTGTCAGGCACGTTAGGCCTCAACTCGGCGGCCCAGACCGCTGCTCCCGGGGGGATCGGAGCCGAGTCGCTGGTGGCGGAGTCGCTGGTGTCGACGTCGAAGGTGATTAGGGTCGGGTTGACGTGCTCGGTTTCTTCGTCGTCGTCGCTGAGGAAGGGGGCTTCGTCGGCTGTTGCTGCTGGGGATTGAGACTGGGATTGGGATTGGGATTGGGATTGGGATTGGCTGTTGCCGGGAGTGCCGGGGCCGGGACCACTGACGGAGATGGTGCTTTGTCGGCGCAGGGTGCCGTCGGGGGGAGGACCGGTGGGGAGGGCGTCGTTGGTTGGAAGGGTGTCGGAGGGGGCGTGGACCATTTCCCAGCCTGCTTCGATTGCGTTTGCGCTTGCGGCCTGTTGTTGCTGCTGTTGTGTTGGTGTCGGTGTTCGTGGTTGGATTTCCTGTCGTTGCTGCTGTTGAGGTTGTTGCTCTTCTGGTGTGGGAGTAGGTGGGTTGTATGTTCCACTAGGCGGCTGTAAATAGGGGACTACCTCCTTAAGGGTCCTCCTCCTGCTGAAGTTGATGGGTTTGGGCAAGCGTCTCTGGATCTTCCGCCTAAGTGACCAGACGAGCCTGGCGTATGTCTTTGAGAAGAACCAGTAGCCGGCAAAAGGGGCGACACCGGCGACGAGGGCGCCGAGCCAGCTGATGATGCTTCCAGGGGTAAACGAGGATGGGAGCTTTGGTAGGAAGATTGGAGAGTCATAGCAGCCGGGAATGAAGAAGCCTAGGGTAGGAACCCATCTCGAAGTGTTGACTAGGCCGGTTCGTTGCATGAAGACAAAGATGTCTAGGTGCAAGTTGACCCATGCGAACACGTACTTGACCCAGGGGTATTCTGGCATGTCGAATCCAGCAAAACTATCGCTTAGGACATAGGACGGTAGCCCAGCCCAGATATACTCTCCCCATGACTGCTGGCTTCTGTGGAAGTAGAATAGGCGAGAGAACGGGACGTGGGCAGAGTCCTTGTACAGCAAGATGCGCTGCCTCAGGCCGTTGACTCCCCAGACACCGACGGTGGCCAACACCTCGCCAGTGAGGAACAGCTTCCTGCCGATTCCATCTTCGTAGTACTGATGCTTAGTGGCCGCATCGTATAGAGCCTGGGCCTCATTAATGCCACTGTCCGGTTCCGCAACGCCAATGACCAGCATAACCTCGTTGTGAGAGCGGATGATGTCTCTGTTAATGCGCCGTGTCTCCGGGTTCACTGGCCGTCCTCGATCATCATACAACTGCTCTGGTGCCCCGGGTTGAGGCTCACCAGTGCCCTCAGCCACCTCATCGTAGGGAGAGCGGCCCTGTGGTTGGTATTAGACTCAAGGCGATGTACATGGAAGTTGTAGTCCTAAAGTCTTGCATCGGATGACAAGACGGATGACTTACAAGGGCCTGTGATGTCAGAGGACCCAGCCGCATAGTGAAAGGGTCAACTGGATTCAGGAAATGTTTGTGGTTTGCTATCCGGCATTTGCCAAGATGGTTATGTGTGCATTACACGGTGAAGTCTGACCAGTTGCTGGCCATCCTCGTGTCACGAATTCCGTGCCAGGGACTGTGTTGAGTGAAGATTGTGGTGGTACAGTTGATGAGTGATGGAGACAGTTGATGTTGGTGGGGGAGCTTGTGGAACACAGAAAGCCGAGGGGTCAGTGTGCCATGTCCCGGTCATGCTCCAGTGCTTCAGTGTGGTTCGTCACTGGTTACAGGGGCTAGAGCTGCATTGCGCTAAGATAACCTTATTTCTTGGCCTTATCAGCGGGCGGCAGGCATCGACCGCGAAAAGTTTTTGGGATTGGGGACTTTGCAGTGTACCTTCTACAGCAGAATCCAAAGGCGGCGGCGCGCAATCGCAACCCATTTAATCCACTTGTACAGCCAGACACTCCTTCACAATGGCGTACAGGCAAACCACCACCAAGACGACCTTCGAGGTCAACAATGTCATTCAGCCCATCTTCACAGGAGGTTCCGTCGCCCTCGACAATGGCGCTAGGATCCTCGCGACCACCCTCGGCGAGCAGGCCGTCCTCACAGAGCTCAACACCGGCAAGCAGCTTGCCGAGATCGAGGGCGATGGAGAGCCCATCTCGACCCTCACCATCACCCCTTCGGCCTCCCACCTGATCGTCTGCTCTCGTTCTCTTACTATGCGCATATACTCCCTGAAGGTTTCACCAGATTACGATTCCATCGAAGCGACGCTTGTACGCACCACGAAGCCCCACGCCACCCCCGTCGTTGTTCTCGCGGTCGACCGAACCAGCACCCTCCTCGCCACCGGTGCTGCCGACGGCGCCATCAAGATCTGGGACATTGTCGGCGGATACGTCACCCACACCGTTAGCGGCCCGAGTGTCCTTATTTCTGCCCTCCACTTCTTCGAGATTGCCGCGCTCGAGGACCAAGCCAGCAACAAGAACAAGAAGAACAGGCGAAAGAGCACAGCGGATGAGGAGCAAGCTCAGGATGACAGCGTCGCTTCCAAGTTCCGTCTTGCCTACGGCACACAGGACGGCAAGATCCGTATATTCGATCTCAGCAAACGCAAGACCTACCCCGTTTACGCCGACCCGAATTCGAGGAGAGAAGCGCACGAGTCCAACGTACAGAGCCTTGACTACTCGCCAGAACTACATGCCCTTCTCAGCGGCAGCAGAGATAAGACGATGACAGTATGGCTATGGAAGGAGGGAGCTTGGAGGGGAACACCCATGTTGCGCCACGAGGGCGTCGAAGCTGTTGGCTTCCTTAACAACGGAAGCTTGATGTATTCGGCTGGCACGAGTGGTCTCCTGAGGCTATGGGACACAACCACACACCAAGAGATCACAGCAAAGCAAGACGCCAAGTCGGAAGCCGAGTCGATAGTGTCAGCCTTTGCTCTTCCCCACAAGAACCTCGTTGTTTGCGCCCTGTCCGACTTCACCCTCGCCCTCTACCGTACACCTTCGGCCGCCGATGCCATGAAAAAGTCGACGAAGCCCCTGGAGCCGTTCAGGCGCATTTCGGGAACACACGACGAAATCCTCGACCTTGTTTACCTTTTGCCCGATCAGTCTCTCATGGCTCTTGCGACCAACTCCGAAGATATCAGACTCGTTTCTGTGGCGGATAAGCAGCCCCAGCTGGGCGACGAGGAGGAGGGTGCGGCATACTTTGGTCATGACGTAGCTCTGCTAAAGGGGCACGAAGATATTGTCATGTCTCTCGATGTTGACTGGTCTGGCCACTGGGTTGCTAGTGGTGCCAAGGATAACACAGCTCGCCTCTGGAGGGTCGACCCAGCCAACAACTCCTTCGAGTGCTATGCAGTCTTCACCGGTCACATCGAGTCCGTTGGCGCTGTCGCACTCCCCAAGACCGTACCCCCCGAGAACTCGGAGGCATTCAAGAACCCTCTCGACCACCCACCCGCATTCCTCATCTCCGGTTCTCAGGATCGGTTCGTCCAGAAGCGCGACATTCCCCGAACATCACAAAAGGGAGCTGTCTCGACCAGTCTCCGTCGCTTAGCCCACGAAAAGGATATTAACGCCCTCGACATTAGCCCCAACGGGAAGCTTTTTGCCTCGGCATCACAAGACAAGACGGTCAAGATCTGGGATTCTGCAACACTAGAAGTCGTGGGTATCCTCAAGGGTCACCGCAGGGGTGTCTGGACTGTTCGGTTCGCGCCTCAGGGCATGCCCGCCATCCAAGGCGAGACCGGCACAGCCGTTTCCGGTAAGGGTGTCATCTTGACCGGTTCCGGTGACAAGACTATCAAGCTCTGGAACCTCTCCGACTACACCTGTCTGCGCACCTTCGAGGGCCACTCCCACAACGTCCTCAAGGTTGTCTGGCTGCGCCTTCCCAAGGCCGCTGACGGTGAAGATGAGGCTGCTGCCGCCGCCACCAAGGCCAAGCAGCGCATTCAGTTCGCCTCTGCGGGCGCCGACTCCCTCGTCAAGGTATGGGACGCCAACCTGGGCGAGACCGAGTGCACGCTCGACAACCACGAAGACCGTCTCTGGACGCTCACCGTGCACCCCAAGACCAACATGCTTGTGTCTGGTGGTTCCGACTCCCGCGTGACCTTCTGGAAGGATACCACTGCTGAGAGCCATGCCGCCGCCTCCTCGGCCGCCCTCAAGCTCGTCGAGCAGGAGCAGCAGCTCGAGAACTACATCCACGCCGGCGCCTACCGTGATGCCATCATCTTGGCGCTGCAGCTCAACCACCCCGGTCGTCTGCTGGGCATCTTCACCAACGTGGTCACCACTAACGCTCCCGAAGAGGGCTCTCTCTCCGGTATCAAGGCTGTCGATCAGGTGCTTGGTAACCTCTCCGACGAGCAGATCTTCCTTCTCCTCCTGAGGTTGCGCGACTGGAACACCAACGCGCGCACGGCGCCCGTGGCGCAGCGCATCCTCTGGGCGCTCGTCAGGCTCTACCCTGCCAACAAGTTCTCCAACCTGTCGGTCAAGGGCGCGAGGGGACAGAAGAGTCTGAAGGAGGTCCTCAACGCGTTGAGGGTATATACCGAGAGGCACTATAAGCGCACGGAAGAGCTGGTGGATGAGAGTTATCTTGTCGAGTATACGTTGCAGGAGATGGATAGTCTGGCGCCGCCGGCGATTGAGGAGAGGGATGGGGATTTGGTTATGGCTGATGCGTAGATTTTTGTTTTGAAATTTTTGAAAGCATAAAGAACGGTTGGGAAAAGTAGCAGTAGAGCTTTTTTTGATAAGGGATGAAATAATGTGATACCAAGTTTGAAACACATACACGTATAGACCGAAGAATGCAGTCTAGTCTGCCGATTGTCCTGTTGTCAATGAAGTTTTGTCTCTCTTTCAGAAGCCCATACCTAAATCTCTCTGTTCACTCGCCAAGGGTATCAATGCTGCGTGTGTAGTCTCGGCCGTATACGATGCTGGCCCTCTGCTCTGGTAATCCTCCACCTTATATCACCATCGTCATGGTTTACTCACCCTGCCTCAAGCAACCACTGAAGATTCGAAGACTTCTTCCTCGCCCAATCCGAAGACTGATATCGTGCTGTCTGTAATGGCGGCCTCTTTAAACTATTTCTTTTTCCCAGCCCTCGTCTTCTCCTTGGCCTTAGCAGCCTTGAGACGGTCGACGCAGTCCTTGATCACAGACTGAAGGTCACTGTTCCGCCTAGCAAGCAGAAGCACGTCATCTGTGGTGACGGTGGTGCGCCCAGCATGTTGGCTGAAGGTTTCCAAATCGATGGCGACGTTTTCTGATGCCCACAGGTTAGCAACAAAACAACTTGCGCTGAGAGGAGACGTACCAATCTGAGTCCACACAAGCTCGGTAAGAGCTCCGATGAACTGAGGAGTGGCATTCATGTTGCGACGGAGCGACTCATCGTCGACCATCTTGCCTATGGCGAACCATAGGGCTGATTTGAGACGCTGTCGTTGATTAGCATTGAAAGCGAAGCTCACAGATACAAGACAGGACACCTACCTCCTGGACATCTTCACCCGAGGCGTCAGCCATTTTGAATTATGTAAGTGACAACTTACACACACTCAAAATGCACCCCCGTTCAATGATGTTCGGTCGTAAAGTGGATTACGTAATGCGGCTCTAGTCCCACTGAGTGCCTGCCAAGAGGCGCGCTCGGTGGGGCATTGGGGGTGCCCTTCGGCGCTGGTGGGGCCCCCGAAGTTGATGTAACCTGTACGTACGTGCCGTCGGCGTCCCGAGTGGACGTTTCTCGCGCAGATGGATTATGGAGCACACCAGCCCGCCGCAAGTTCGCAAGTGCAGGTGCCGGGCAGTTCAACACTTTTTTCTCCCTTCTCCTTTTCACAACAACTCTAGACTCCTTCTTCTCTTTTTTTAATTACTCCGGCAACCTCGGGATCCTTCTTTATAATACTTCCTCAAACTAGACTTCTTTTTCTTCGTACTTAATCAGTCGTCGGCGAAAGCTTTCCTTCCCGGCGTTTCCCAAAGACTCTACCTCTCGAGTTGTCGCAAGTACACCAAAGCCTCTCTCCACCGCCCTTTGCGCAAAGAAGCCTAAAGACACCACCACATAACAACCAAACCACGCCCGAACAAACCCGATCAAGATGGACGGAGTAGCCAATGTCATAACGGTCCTGGGTGATCGTATCTCCAACAATGTCAGGGGCACCTTCGCCAGCATGACCGCGGAGAAGTGGATTCGCCTGATCATCATTGTCGGAGCTTGTGAGTAGCATCGTTTTTCAAAAGCGCAATGTGCAAACATATTTTCAAGAAAAAACAGTAGCTAACGATGCGCCATGGCAGATGCCCTGTTGCGCCCGTACATCATCAAGCTCGGCGGAAAGGCGCAGATGAAGCAACACGAAGAAGAATCTGCCGAAGCCATTAGGGGCACCATCTCCCCCAACGAGCTGCGCGGACAAAAGGCCATGGTCCGTCTCCCTGGTGAGGACAGCGACTCGGAAGACGACGAGGCGCTAAACGGAGAGACTTCGGCGGCGGACTGGGGCAAGAAGGCCCGCAGGAGACAGCGCATGGTCATCAAGAAGCTCATCGAGGCCGAGGAGGACAGACTGCGGGAGAGCAAGGAGGAAGAGGAGGATAAGGATATCGAGGAGTTCCTACTCAAGGAGTAAAAAAAAAAGAACAGGAATCGGGTTTGGGTATGACTGACGTTGGATGAACTTATACATTAAAAAGACGGACGACGACCAACAACACAGAATAATCAAATAATAATGCATTCACGAGACAAGACAATGGATGGAGTGAGAACTCCTGCTTGCATGTGATGTGGCTAAAGAAACTGTGTTGCGAGAAAGGTGGGACCTTGCAACCTGCATTCTGCGGGTGAAGCGTGTCTCGGCATGCAGCCAAAGGGAAGGCAAAACGCCTCCAAAGGGGCCCACTTCTACGTCCTTTTAACATTCACTGACCTTCCACTTCACTTCGCAAAACCACCTTGCGCACCTCAACCTCCAAACCTCATTCTTGACGCACATCTCAAATATTGCTACCCTAGCGAAACCTACCTACAACTACCAAAGATCATCATCAGACAGCATTTTTATATATCGGTCTTCCACCAAGCGCGGACTCTTGCTTCACCACCAGCGAAGTCATCAAGACAGCTTCACCACTACCAGCGTCATCGAAGCACATCAGCGGGACTCACCAGCGAAGCGGCCTTCGCCCACCTTATTCAATACCAATCCCAACAAAGGGCCTTTTTCCACATCACAGCCCAAAATGGCTACTATCTCAAAAGACGAAGCCATCATCCGCTCCTCTGGCGAAGGTACGCCCACTCACCCAGTTTTCACCACTTCCTCACCTCACCCATTCTAACACCCCCAACCAGCCGCCCGCGCCTTCACAGACTGGTACTACACCCAACTCACCGACGGCAAGCCCATCGCCTCCGCCTACGTCAACTCCAACGCCAAGTACCTGGCCGCCTCGCACCCGCCCGCCGACATCTGCATCAACGGGCAAGTCATCGCCACGCCCGAAGAGTGGGACGCCCTCCTCGAGCAACAGCGTCTTGTCCCTTTCACCCAGCAAAAGGGCAAAGTGAAATACGAAGTCGAGGGGTTCGACGTGCACGTCATCAACAAGGATTACCGGTTCGCCGCGCCCGCGGAGATCGTGGCTGCTACCGACCCAAAATTGATGCAGAGGACGGAGGATGCGAGGTTGATGATGGTTGTTACTGTGGCTGGGAGTGTGACGTTTGGGGCGGGGGGGAAAGAGAAGGGCACGCCGCCGAAGCAGCATTTTTCGGATGTTTTTGTTTTGGTGCCCAATTGGGATTATGTGACGAGGCCCAAGTTTAAGGGGCATAAGAGGTATTTGGTTGCTAGTCATACTTATAGGGCGTACTAGGTGGTACGACTCTGAGGGATAAGAGGTGACTGAAAGCAACGTGGGGATGTGGTAAGCGGTGGTAAGCGGAGGGAGGAGAGGGAAGGGAAGCAAAAGGGGAATTAGAAGGGATATATCAAAGGGTTTGCTTCACTGGATTTCCAGATCAGCAAAGTGCTTGCTTCAGCGTTTAGCTTATGGATTTGGCGTCAGGGACGGAAAAGAGAAGGATCTGACATGGTTTGATGATAACTCGAAGCGGAGCATGTGGGAAGCTGATACCACGAAATACACATCATACTTCGAAAAGCCATCAAGAATGATACTCACTACAAATTGTTCTACAGCACAACTACCAAAGCGAACCGCTTGGGAATTCTCTCCCGAATAATCCAAACTACCCGATGCCCTTTAACCATATGCTCGCTACTGAGCTACTACCCTATAACTGCTTTCACTACTGTAGTCCGAACTGTCCGGCCAAGATCATTTGTTTCTTGAATGCAATCCAATCCTCCAAACCCAACATGGCCTCCTACGCCGCCGCAACCTCCTCACCACCCTTCTCAGCCTCTCCAACCGCAACCGCCTTCTCCTTCTCAGTCTGTGTCAAACACTTCCTCCTCCACTCCCAATACCCCCCACGAATCCTATCCCACTTCTCCGCCAATCTCCTCAAGCACAAATCCGCCTTATCACTATCCCACTTCTCCGCATAAATTTCCGCCAACAAATCCAACGCATGCGTGCTCTTTACGTCTTCCTCCTCCTCCCCTTCGCCCAACTTCACCACAAACTCCTCCACAAACCCCTGCACGCTCGCCAGGTGCTGCCTGCCCTTGACCAACACGCCCCGCATATAATTCCACGGGCTCTGGTTCTGCGGCGCCAGGTACACCTTGTTCTGGGCATACTTCACCTCTCTGTCCACAAGCTCCTGGGGTACCCTTTCATCCTTCTCCGTCGCCCCCTTCCCCGGCGTTGCGTACTTGGGGTTCGAAAACACGATGAAAAACCGGTGCGACCAAGCCGAGTTGTTGCGCACGTCCTCGTCGATCAGCTGCTCAATCGATTTGAGTTCTTCCTCGTCCTCCCACATCCCCAGCTTGCCCACCAGCCACGAGCGGTACGACCAGACGTGATAGTTCTTGGTGTCTTCGGACAGGATGGCGATGAGGAAGTCACGCTCTTGTTTGGCGAATTGCGCGAGAGCGTCGGGGTCGGAAGAGATGGTGGGGTAATAATGTTCGACGAGCAGGTGGCGGTGGTGCCAGATTTGGTAGTTCTTGAGGTTGGCGAGCGCGACTTCGTTGAGCCACTCGATCTCGTCGGGGATGGATAGACCCAAAGCGAAGATGTTGGCGGCGCGGTAGAGCCAGACGGTGTAGTGGGCGGGGTTCATGGAGATGATGTGTTCGGTTAGGCGCAGGCAGCGCGGGGAGTACTCCTTTGTGGTCATGACGGCGCGGAGGTAGGACATGGCTGTTGGGGAGTTATGTTAGCTTTGGTCATGATGACTTGAAGGAGAGGGAAAGAAAGTGTGCAGTGGTAACATACCCTCAGCATACTCAGCCGGATAAGCAATCGCCGCCAGCGCGCCCTCAGGCTCCTCATGTGGAATAGGCACCACATCCTCCCACTCCACGCTCCCAGCCAGCTTCCCCGTGATCTCGCCGTACAGTTCCTTCTTGAGCGCAGCCATCTTGCTTCGTCGGACCTTTTCTTCGTCGATCTCTCGTTCCGTAACAATAATCTCCCGTCCGGACCTTGCGTCGACAAACCCTCTCTTCTCGCGCTCGACGTTCTCCCGGAATACTCTACTCGACACTTGGAGCGCTGTCAAGGCGATCCGCTTCCTGAATCGCTCGTCGAACCGCTCGATCGTGTAGCTGCCGACGTCGTGGCCGTTCCGGTCGGTGCCCCAGGTGATATGGGGTTCGGGCTTGTGCTTGAGTCCGCGGACGATCGAGTTGGTCCCGTTGATGGTCCACCAGATCTCCTTGGACGCTTTAGGGCCGAGGAGGCGTGAGCGGCTGGCTGCGGGTAGGCGGTTGGTCAGGTGGAGGAGCTGGTCGCAGATCCAACCTTTCTGGTCTTCTTTGGAGAGTTTGCTGAGTCCTTGCTGTCGACGGGCAGCTTCGAATGGACGGGTCTTTTCGTAACGCTGTTGACTACGTTCGAGTACGGTGGTAGGTTCTGATGGTTGCGATGCTGTTTGGCTAGTAATGGTGGTGGGATTGGTGGTTGTAGTCGCTGGAGCTTTGACCCCGGTTAGCTACCCTTCCAAGTATTGTACCGAACGGACAAGCTGCAAACAGAACAGAGTGAAAAGACAAACAGGATCTTTCGAGGTCGAAGATACGAAAAGAAACTAACTTTCGGTTGCTTTGGGCTTTGTGGCCGCTTTACTTTTGGGCGGCATTGTTATGAGGTGGTTGCTAAGGGGGAAATGGTGGGGTCTTAAAGCGGAACGGGGACCTTGCTGAACGCATTGATTTGCGGTCGTCGGATTGTGATAAGATACAAACAAAGTGACGAAGTGGAAGCCAGTGGCGCATCGAACAAAACAATCGCAACTTCCAAGCAGCACAATGCTTAACATGCACGGGATATCATGATCTCCATGGTAACCGCAAACATCGCTTGCTGTCTGCCTTTTTTCTTCTCTTGACTATTCCTTCTACTTATCCCAAAAGGTGCCCCTGAAGAGGTAAGTACCTTGTTACTTCCCGTCACTTCACCTCCTCATCACCACCTAGCAACTCCCTCACATTGGCCCCAAACAATTCTCTAGTATATACACCTTATTAAATAGGTAATACTCATTACGTAGTAATCTTCCACCTTCCCGCCCAGCAAGAATACCTAGAACGCGATATGTACAACTGAAGTGAGGAAGTCTATTAGGGGATTTTGCCTCCTGCCAGCTTCTTTTAGGTATCGTGGGGAGAGAGACCCTCAACACCATGCCCTGTCTGTCATCCCTTGTCTGCACACCGACATGGGATTGGGTCTCCATTAACATCCCAAATCAGCCATCCTCTTTAGTCCCGGTTCTCAACCCTCCAGAACTTCCAGCCCTCCCGCTCGCCCCGGTCACCGTGTACACCGACAAGCTTCTCAAGCGCCTCGTTACTGTCCGCGCTGAGGAACTTCTCAACGTCAATCTCCATACCGCCCACATCATCCTCATCCATTCCATTCTTCAGCACAGCCGGCCAAAGCACGCCAACACCGTCGCTACCGAGTGTGGTCTCGAACTTGGAGTACCCCTCCTCATCCAGCTGCTTCTCCAGCTTATCCAGCTTCTCGCGCGGCACTCCCGGCCGCAGCAGCGTGATAGAGCATCCGCCACCGCCCGCACCAGTGAGTTTCGTCCACCCGATACCCTCATGATCCACCAGCTCGCGCACGCGCTCCAAACGAGGGTGTGACACGCCCAGTGACACCAGCAGGCCGTGGTTGATAGTCATCATCTCGCCCACCTTGCTCAGGCTCTCCTCGTCCTCCGTGTTGAAGCCTTGCTCCTCGATCAGCTGCGCAGAGCTCTGCGTGACCTGGTCGATGGCGGTCAGGATCGTGCCCACCAGCTGCGGGTGCTTCTTCTTTAGCGTTGCCACCTTGGCGACCTCGTGCGCTGTTGACTTGGCTTGCCTGGTGTCCACGAGGAGTAGCGGGAGCTTGGGGAAGTCCCACAGGGGGCGCACAGCGGGAGGCTGGTTGTAGTCTGTCCGTTGGAAGACGACCGCCTTGCCCTGTGTTGATACTGTGTTGTCCACACCTGAGGGGTTACCGTGGATGAACATCTCGTAGACAAATGCCCAGCGGTTGATGCGCTCGATTTGTAGCCTGGCCTCCTCGGGAGGTTGATCGGGGTGAGGACCGGACAGTGTCCGGAGTTGGAGCAGGAGCGCTGCCGACAAGCAGACGGCGATGGTCGCGCTGCTGCCCAAGCCGGCTCCGATGGGGATCGTCGAGCGCAATGTGTACTGGCAGCCGGGGAACGACTGCGAGCCGAGGGAGAGGAACATGTAGAGGAAGGAGCCGGCCGAGTTCTGGTGTACCTTGCGGATGTCGGCGGGCTTGTCTATCGAGACATCGGTGAGGAAGGGCTGTACGGCGTCAAAGAGTTCTTGGTCGATCTCGGTGACGAGGCTGTAGTAGTACTTCTTTTTCCCTGGTTGCTGGAAGATCTTCCATGGGAGCTCGTCGATATTCCACGAATGATTGAAGTCGATGTCGGGGAATTTCAGCGTTACAGTTCTCTTAGACTTGGAAAGCGTATTGACGAGCAGATAAGATCGCAGCGAGATGGCGGCAGCAATCGCAGCCTGGCGAAGAGAAACAACTGTTAGCCTCTGATAACTATTCCCCCCTTTTCCAGCACCCTTATGACCTATGCGCCCGCACAACATACCTTGCCGTGAACGACTGCGTGCTCTCCAAACACAATGACCTTTCCTGGTGCCGAGACCATGAAGGTCGGCATCATAGGACTGGACTTTTTGCGCTCCATCTTCTTTCGTATGGGTGTTATTGTGCCGTTGGTAGGAGAGCCCCCGTTGACGGAGCTGCTGGCGCCTTCTTGGATGGTCACTCTAAGACCATTGCTGGTGTTTTCGTTGACGGCTTCGCTCGCATCACCGTTTATGTGTTGGCCTCCCTGATCGGACTCGGAATGGAATCCACTGACTCGGTTGGTTTCTTGCTCCGCCATGGTTAGATAGTTTTCTTTGTGTGTATGTTGCACGTAATCGACCCGAGCGTCCCTCGGTAAACGCCAACAATGCTAAGCGGGAGGGGTCCTTCGAAGAGGGGCTATATGTACAGATCCGGCGCAACTGGTTGAACCGTGGAATCGCCAACAGTATGATGGCTGAGTACTAGTTCACGTTGAGATAGAACTGTGCCGTGGTGCTGATGTGATGAAAGGCGCGTCGGCGTGGCCGTGGATCAGCAATAAAGGCAACCGAAGCTGCCTAGATAGGTAGAGATATGTGAGATATTGGAGTCCTAAAGGAATGGCCCAAAGCAACTGAGGGTATCGCGGCGTAGCCAAGGTGGTGAAGCAAGCGGGCGAGACGGGGTTGTTGATATACTGCCGATCTTTTTCTTGCTTGTGGTCTGCAAGGTCCAGATGACGGATATTATGCGGAGGCTGCGAACGAGTGCGATTGGTGTTCCTGATACGCCAGACGACCACGAGTTACACAAGGTGACAAGCCCCAGGGTGTTTGCGATGCAAATAATCTTGCAGACGTGCCGTGTTGAGGTTGCGCAAAGTGACAGAGTTCGAGGGCGGCAGGCGCTGTCAATTGGTGTTGATTTGGGTTGATTGGGTGCCGAGGGGTGCCAACTTGCGATTGCAGCAACTGCGGGCGGAGGTAAGAAAGGGGCCCCGTTACGTGGGGAAAGGGGGTCCGGAGTCACTTTTATGTGCCCAGAAGAAGGTCGGTGGGCTCTAGATATCTCCCTTTTTTTCCTATTCTACGCCAACGATGCTTGATGCGATTCTTCTTTTTCCTGCTGTCCGCTACAACCGAAGCTATCTACGCCTAATCAAACTCTTTGTCATTGGAAAGTTCAGCCCGCACGCCGAAGCCGTTACTTGCCATGCAGAAAAGGGGTTGTCATCATGGACTTTTATTGACAGGGGGCCTTTTAGCTCTGGATTTCCTTCTCAAAGCCGCTGATTGGCGCTTTCCGGCTTCTCGACACAACGCTATTTAGCTTCCGGTGAACTGGACAACGCCTCGAACAGGGAGGGGGAAGCATCGGGAGCTCAGGACAAGGGGAGCTTCTGCTCCTCAGGCTCCCCACTCAACTGACAACTGCCCCATTGTCAGTCGAGTCTGGACTGCAGCAGGCGAAGCGTGGCATCACCCAGGATTTCTCTTGGTTGCAGGATAAACACCAGGATCGTGGAACGAACCTTTGCCGTTTTCCAACTGCCCTAGACCTAGGGCTAGACCACGCTTGTCGAGGCTTTGAAATCCAATCGACGTACGTCAGGTGGTCACTTGAACTTTACCTGTCTCGCTGGTTTGTTCAGCTCGTTCCTGACTATGCTCTAGGGTAATGGACGAGAGTTTCATTAGTGGTTTCGACGTGTTTGTCCAAGTGCATACATGAGTTGGCAATATGCACCGAAACCCGAAGACTTTGGCGAGTGCCCGATTTACAAAATCGTAGTGCCATTTTGCCGAGAACTCGTCATACATTTACGACACCAGCAAGGATCTTGTTGAGACTGTTCAGAGAGTCTCGAGAACACATCATCGCATCCAATCTTTCCAGCAGTGTTTCTGCTTATAGGATCTAGTCTCAGGTGACGGCCGGCATGGCCTCCATTGACGTTGAGCCCCAGGGCATCATAATGATTATGTTCTTGGGGAACTGATGACATGGATGGCAGATTCCTGGAACAGGTGCATGTAGTCCATGGAACCCCTCAACTGTGCCGTGTGAGATTACGGATTCCGAGGGTAGCCTAATTTGCGTATGCTGTTGTCCTGAGTGAGTCCAAGTGAACTTCAACCACCACACATACAAGTTGTATATGGACTCTAGTTTTGCTGCATTGTGAAGCATTCAAGCCGTCAAGCTCGCATCCTGGCTCTACTGACGAAGGGCATATCTCAACAATGACCGTCACCGAGATTGCCATCCTCCGCGTTCACACCGGGGTCACCGACTCTACCCTACGAGACAACCTCAGCGGGGCCATCACTGTCCAAGACGCATGGCACGCCCGCGCCTTTCCCGACCGCCCCTCTTCCGCCTCGGCACGGGCCGTGGCTAGTTTCCGGGGGATCGACGATGAGACGCAGATACTCCTCACTACGAGCTGGGGCTCCGTAGAGGAACATTGGGCATGGATCCTCAGCGACGATAACAAGCAGCAGATGGAGGGTACAAACCTGACCAATATCATCGCAAACGAAGGGCCGCCCAACCAGCCTGGTGGACTCGTCCTTTTCCACTTGGATACGGACATCTTTGGTAGTAGCCATGCCGCCACCAGCAAAGACACGATTGCGCTCCTCCATAGCCCGGTCATCAGTGTTGAACAATTCTCTGTCGATACCGAAAAGAAGGAGAGCTTTGCCGCCACGCTCGAGAAGGTGAGGGCCAGCATGGAAAAGGTCGTACATCCTCACTTGGTCAGAAGCGGGCGCAGTGTCGATCGCGAGGCGGAGGGTGAGGAGTTCGTGTTGGTTTCCGGGTGGTCCTGTGTCGAAAGTCATACGCAACAGTTTGCTGCGTCGTCCGAGTCTTTCCTGTACAGTCAGATTGCTGGTATCGCTTCGTCGGTGGAAACACGGCACTACAGACGGTTCCTGTAGTGCCCTCTCTGTCACTCAGACACTTGGTTGGGAAAATGCGCGGTCTCGGGTCCGAGAACTGGTCGCTCATGAATGTGTATTCAGACCCTCTGCAAGGGGTTGGTTTGCGGTCGCTGAGACCTTGACAACTAAATAGTCATCGCGTTTCTCCGAAGACCTGCACCTGCTCTCGCAAGTGCTCCTGTTCCCAATCCCATGAAGGTTTCCCCCGATCCGAGAACGCCGTCTTAGTTCGCGAGAATTAAATGTCCAGCACCAGAACCAGGCAGTTGAAAATCGTCATTCATTCGCTTCCCATTCGCCCAAAAGCAGCCGTCATTTCCTCATTGTCGGGAAATTTAAGCAGTCTGCTTCTTGTTGCGCTTGGCAACGTCGGCGATGGTGAGGGCTATAGTCTCGCATGTCAGTTCCATCATTCTCGCAGCTGTCCTTTTCTGCCTTGTCCATCTCTTTCTCTGGATCAGATATTCGGGGTCGGGGAGCGCGTACAAGGAGGGAGGGAAGCCTTGAGCTTCTCAGCCTTGTCGGAGTCCTTGAGAACAAGGGTGTAGAGGTACTTCTGGCAGCGGACCTTGAACTTGATCTGCTGAGTGCTCTTGTTCTTCTTGATCCGGGCGGCTGCAGGGTGAAAGCGACTCTGTTAGAATTTCGTTCGGGTTTCGCGACGGTATTTCTCGGGCAGGCCCTTGGCCAAACATACCGGAAGCGTCCTTGCGCCGGCAGATCTCGATGAACTATTATTGAAATCAAAGTCAGCAAAGCAAGCCCAATTGCAGCACGCATGCACAAATTCAGCATGACGACGTACCTTCTTGATATCTCCGATTTCCTGAGGCATTTTGGCGGCTTGGTGCTGGACTTCCCGTACTTGTGGTGACGACGACAACGGAGTTCAGGAGCGTGGATGAATTTTAGGTACTATGGAAATAATTTTGTGTGGGTTTGGGGCCTAGGCGGTGCGAGTGGCTTGGTGGGGGTGCGTGCGGGCAATGAGCCGCTAACGCGACGCACCCTTGTTTTCGCTGTCACTTCTGCCAAATCACACATGCCGACGTTAGCGCAAGCTCCAAGTGTGGCTGATGCTGCACTTTGGTAACTGCGTTAACTTTGGCGGACACGGTGACGCAAGGAGCTCGTGTGGCGTCGACTCGTCTCATTCCAACGAACAGTCACCGTTGGACCGTCTAAAACATCTGATTGCGAAAGTTCGCCTTCAAGCTCGGTTGCAACTCGTGGAGGCCTCGAGAGGACACGATTCTAGTAGTTTGTGTACCCAGATAGTATATAATCAGAGATCAATCACGCGGTCCTACTTAGAGCTTCTTTTGTTCCAGATCAAGTGCCACCTCATCAGACAACTCAGTTAGTTTGGGCGTTAACGTTTTGCACTGCGCCTACCCCTCTTGCCTAACCACCACTTACAAGACCACCCCCTTCGAGCTACTTAAACATGCCAACGCCACTGGATAACGCATTGAGATCACGAGTGAGTACCTCATCACCACAACTCAACATACCGAAGCAATCATGCTTGTCGAATCTTTGCTGATAGTTTCCGCGAGCAAGAACGCATTTCTTGGTAAGCTTCTTATTCAACAGTCGGGCAGTCGACCGAACCTTGACTAACCCCACATAGCGTTCGCCGGCATCGTGACGGGTGCCGCCGCATGGTCTATCTGGGGAGGCGACGTCTTTCCTCAAGCCCAGGCTGACCCGAAGGGCAACCCTGAAGAGTGGACTCGCGAGGAGATGCGCACATGGCTTACACTGGTGAGTTTTCTTGTTTTGTAAAAAGCAGACGAAAAACTCGAAGCTAATGTTGGGAACTCTTATCATCTCCAGCGTAATCTTCATCCATCAGACTCAGACACCCGGGAGCAGTTACTGGAAAGGATCCAAGCGAACATGAGAATCCCAAGACAGTGAGCTGGTAGTACTGGAGGAATTGGGGGATCCCCAAAGCTCAAAAGCCCTATGATATGTTATACCCTTTGAAGAATACCTAGCATGCATTCATTTTGTCCCATGTTCTTCATGGCATTGCTATCTTCATAGCAGGCTGTGCGATGGTATCATCAGCTGGCTAGAGGACACATGCTGTTGGATCCTTTTCTCCCATCGTACTTACATACTCGTGATCCCAACCGCTGAATACAAGAGCATAAACCGGCAACCAGACAATATGACTACATACAGCCATCCGGAAATGCTCCTTGATGTCAACAGGAAACACTATTTACATTCGGGGATCCGTAGGGTGACCCGGCAACATGGAACCACCACGCTGCGCTCGCGGGGAACCTCTACGACCAGGCTTATCGATAAGACCTACTGAGTGGGGCGAGTTGCAAATTAACCCAATCAGCATGTGTAAATCATGGTGGCTGCGCCATACGTAACGGTACGTACCTGCAAGGAAGCTTCAAGCGGAACTGGGGCAAGGACAGGTTGTTGTTACTGTTTGTACCTTGCTGGCATTGTGCTTATAACCAATGCGGCGGACAATCTGACACGGTCTTTTGGCTTTCATTGTTCCAACAAACAAACATTCCATTTGCGCATTCGGCGGAGCCTCTAGTAGACACGCCCTTATTGCGCGACGATGGAGTTTCTTCAGGTACGTTCTGCGAAATCCTTCTCCTCTGACATCCAAGGGGAGCACCGGCTAACATGGCACTCTCCAAACGGCAGCGTCTCGCGAGGTTCCTCGACCGGCCTCTCTTCCCCTGGAAGAAGCTGATCATTGGCTTCTCCCTCGCCAACTACTTCATCGAAGGTTTCCTCGGATATCGTCAGTATCAGGTCCTCAAGAAGACCAAGGTCCCCAAGGTGTTGGAGCATGAGGTGTCCCAAGAGGTCTTCGACAAGAGTCAGGTACGATATCCCCCAGCTACGGACCACCAGCCAGTCACCATTTTCTGACATACGATATAGGCATACGGACGCGCCAAGGCAAAGTTCGAGTTTTTCAGCGGTATATACGGTCAAATCCAAAACATCTTGTTCTATCAGTTCGACGTCCTCCCGAAGCTATGGTCATTCGCCGGCAACCTCCTCGTTCGGTTCGCGCCAGCCCGGTTCTCCGGCGAAATCTCGCAATCTATCGTCTTCGTCCTGTCCTTCGTCGTCATCTCCCAGATTCTCTCGCTGCCGACTAGCCTCTACCACACTTTCGTCTTGGAGGAGAAGTTCGGTTTCAACAAGTCGTCTGCCAAGCTTTGGATTACCGACAAGATCAAGTCTCTCTTCTTGACCTTTGTCCTCACGCCTCCGATCCTCGCTGGCTTTTTGGCTATCGTGCAGAAGACTGGAAACCAGTTCTTCTACTATCTCTGGGTTTTTGTCGCTGGTCTCCAGGTTGTCATGATCACCATCTACCCGATCTTCATTCTGCCTCTGTTCAACAAGCTCTCTCCCCTTGAGGAGGGTGAGCTCAAGAGCAGCGTTGAGGATTTGGCCAAGAAGCTCAAGTTCCCCCTCTCCGAGTTGCACGTCATTGATGGCAGCAAGCGCAGCGCCCACAGCAACGCCTACTTCTTCGGCATGCCCTGGAAGAAGCACATTGTCATCTACGATACCTTGATCGAAAAGAGCGAGACCCAGGAGGTTGTTGCCGTTCTTGCACACGAGTTGGGTCACTGGAAGTTGGGTCATACCACTAGCCTCTTTGGCATCTCCCAGGTAAGCTATTGCTCCTTTGTTGCCGTTTCCTCTGTTTGCCATGAAATGTTACTAACAATGACCAGGCCCACTTCTTCGCCATTTTCTCCCTCTTCTCCGTTTTCATCAACAACAACTCGCTTTATGCCGACTTTGGCTTCCACACGGTGCACCCTATCATCGTTGGATTCCTTCTCTTCTCGGACGTCCTTGGCCCTACCGATACCCTTATCAAGCTCGGCATGAACGTTCTCAGCCGCAAGTTCGAGTTCCAGGCCGATGAGTTCGCCAACGAGCTTGGCTACAACGCCGAGCTCGCTCGCTCCTTGATCAAGCTCCAGATCCAGAACCTTAGCACCATGGATGCTGACTGGCTGTTCGCCACCTACCACTTCTCGCACCCCATTTTGACCGAGAGACTGAAGGCTCTCAACTGGCAGTCCACTGGAAAGGTGGAGGTCAAGGAGAAGGGTAAAGAGGGTGATGAGAAGACTGATGTTGCTACTGCCACTGGGCGGGATGAGCTCTAAGTCGGGGTAGGATGATAGAAATGAGAAAGTGGAGGAGGAATTGAAAATCAAGCTGGGATGTGTGTGATCACAAGTTGAAGGAAAATCAGCGCCCTTGATGAAAGAGTACCCCACTCTATATTGCTTTTGAATTATCATTTTGATAGAGAATCTAGAAAGAAATCTGTTTTCCATTACTGAACAGGACGAAGTCCGTCAACCTTGAACCTGAATCTTTTTATGCTGTTGGTCGTCGAATTTGGAATTTGTTGATGTTGAGTGCTACAAACTTGCGAAGCTGTGATGGTTGCGGCTTAACACATACAGAACCCTAACCCTTGGCTATGTTCTATAGCAGCTGGCAACCGGGTGCAAAAAGCTCTCCCCGGACCCCGGCCGATCAATCGAACTTTGGACGGAGCCGATCCAGCAACCGCGCCCGCTCGTCGCGAACCACTCCATAGGATCCCGAAACGCTTGTGTTCGTCCCGGCGCATTCGGCCTCGCCCGGTCCTATTTCCACCCCCGCAATTCTTCGACGTCAACCACCACCACCGACCACCATCGGCGACAACCACATCCCGCCAAGATGTCCAGAATTTTCTCGTCGGCCCTCCAGGCCGCTTTCAAGCCGAGCGCTTTCCTCCCCAAGACTGCCACTCGGTACGCTACACTGCCCTCCATCCTCCCCACCCTGATGCCAAAACATAAGGTTAAACAGTAACTAACCCGTGCCACTCCAACAAAACAGCTCATTCTCCATCCTCCCCTCCCTCCGTCCCACCACCTTTTCTAGTCCCATCTTCCGCGCCCCCAACGCCATCACCGCACCCTCGGCCTCCTCTCCCACTACCACCGCTACGGTCGGCATCGACGGCGAAGTCCTCGACCTCCTCTCCGCCTCCTCCCTTGTTTCGAGTCATCCGGCGCTTAGCGGGTTGGGCTCCCAGATCCGCTGCGGCCCGCGCCCGACGATGAGCGGCGCGACGAGGCTGGTGCAGAAGCGCAGACACGGGTTCCTGAGCAGGGTCAAGACGAAGAATGGGCAGAAGACGTTGAAGAGGAGGCAGGCCAAGGGGAGGTTGAGGTTGAGTGCTTAGGCGTGGTTGACTTGAGCTGGGACGCATTGATTGAAATGTTGGGGGGGAGGGGGAGAAAGGGACCAAGTGAGTAGAGAGGGAAGAGGGAATGAAGGGAGGAAGTAAGGGGAAAGGGAGGGAAGTGAAGGGGGCCAAAGAGGAGAAAGAATCGAAACTCGTCCATCCGTCCGTCCCTCCGTCCGTCCGCAGAAGCTGTTCGACCATATTTCTCTCCTGTTGGGTGGGCTCAGCTGCTACGACTCGACCGACTCTCTCGCTTGCTGGAATTCACGGACCCGGCCGCGTCTCGGAGGTAGTTATATGGGCGGGCAAGCCATGCTCTCGATCGTTCGACCTGACGCATCTACGGGGCATAGCGAGTGAAAAGCTCGCAGGCAGGAGACGGACAACATAATATCCTCGGCCGCTGAAGATACTGGGAGGGCTTGGACATACTACAGCAGCGAGGCGCAAAACGAACCGGACGAGCTCTATTGCCTGCCGTCTCATGGTCTAGGAACGGTAACCGAATCTCAGCCTTCACCTCACGCTCTTGTTTACCCCTTCCTCTCTACACATTGTATGAAGGAGAACACTTGTACATTATGAAAAATACGACCTGTTATACCCACCCATCACTCAAGGTTTCCTGCCCGCCTGATTTACAATACTTGAGAAGTATTTATCATGCACACTATGGCCGTCGCGACGGCGTTCTTGGCGCTGGTCGGCAATTTTGTTTAACTCCATCCGTTTTATATGTGCAATACGACGCGACGCGGCATGAGGGTTGACTTCAAACTTCTTTTTTTTTTTTCAGTCAAAAGGTTGTTTTACTGCCAAGTGGCGGCGATTTCACACATACACTGTCACTTCACCAAAACGTCAAAGTATCCAAGAAGGTGATTTCTCTGGGGTGTCATTGATGCTATTCTGAAGAACTATCTTCCAAGCTTCCCTGCACAAAGCACCCCTATTTTACCTTTGAGACTTGCTCAGCGGGCAGTGTCACTTTTCTACGCGGGCAGTGTCACAGTAATCGCCAACCCTAATAAATTCTAATTCGACAAGTTTAATTTAGAGATCCTATCGAGAATTACTTGCGCCAAACCACTATAACTTTACCAAAACTAATCTCGTACTAACATAAATCCAACATTACGCATTCCATCTTTATCTCAATTTCTCCTCCACCTTCTCATTTCCATACTCCTACCTCCTACCCCGACTTAGAGCTCATCCCGCCAGTAGCAACATCAGTCTTCTCATTTACTTGATGTGATTCTCACAACACCAAGGCTTTCAAGTCAGTCTCAAGATTGTTGCTCTTGACATAAGCAACATCCTCGGCAGTCCACTGCTTCACGCGAGTCTCGAGCTCCTCATCAGTGACGTTGCTAGCCGCAACGTTAGTGTCATCCCTCTTCCAACCGAAGCCGCGGCCGCCAACCAAGCAGCCGCCGATGCTCCCGAAGTAGTTAAGGTGGTCAGCGATGTTATAGCTGAGTGTGCCGGCGTTGCACTGGATGTTGGCGTATCCCTCGCAGATCTTGACCTGGCTGGTGGTGGGCTGGGTTGATTCGGTGTTGATCCACCACTCGGGGGAGGTGTGGCGGTAGTTGTCGTAGATGGGAGGGACACGGGGCACGGGGTCCGAGGCGTGGGTGACGCGGTACTCGTCGCCGGGCTGGTTGGTGACGAAGGCGACGAAGGCCTCGTTGCCGACGCGGGGCGAGCCGAAGGTGATGAGGTCGGCGGTGTAGCCGGCCTTGCGGAGGTAGGCGGCGGCGAGGGTGGCGACGGCAGCGCCGAGCGAGTGGCCGGTGACACCGATGCTGTAGTCGGGGTTGGTGGCATGGGCGGACTGGACGGCCGCGGTGACCTTGGTCGCAACCTCCTTCCAGGCGGTGTAGAAGCCGGCGTGGACGAGACAGCCGCTCACGAGGTCACAGGGGACCTGGACGAAATTTTCGCTGGATGAATGTCAGTTGGGGGGTCCTGCTGTGGTACGGGATACGGACTCGGTGTTCGACTTACTCGGCCATCCAGTTTTGGACCGAAGAGGATCCTCTGAAGGAAACAGCGATAACCTTCTTGACAGGGTCAACTGAGACAAGGCCGCGGATATCAGTGGTGTAGCCACTTTTGATTTGTTAGAAGCCGCATTATCTCGACTGGGTCTTTATGGAGTCTCTTACGTGAAAGAGGCAATAGTCACGGCCTTGTCGCCGGCGACGGTAGGGCAAACTCTGTTGGAGCAAGCGACGGGAGTGCCAGCAGCGTTGTTGCTGTTGCAATAGGCGGTGCCAGCTTGCTCAGCCCAGTAGTGGAGCTTGGAAAGCTCATCGGTGGTGACATCGGCTGGACAAGGCTGGTTAGCTTCAGGTTGACATCAAGAGATGGTGTAGGTGTTGTAGGCTTACCTCTCTTAGCCACGTTGGGGCTCGTCGAGGGCGCCGCCAGACCGGTGGCCGCCATGGCGGAAGCCAAAAACAGAGATGCCTTCATTTTGTGTTGGAGAAGTGGTTATTTCAGAGAGAAGACAAGACAGTCCACGGGATATGAGAACCAGGAGTAATACTGAACCTGTGTCTGCTGCAAGAGAGATTCGAGAAGGGAAACGGCGGACATTGTCGTGATCTTTATACTCAACACCATCACCATGCGTGCAATATGTACCCCTGACTTGCCTTGACTTGCCCACATTCTACCCTGACTTGACTTGCATTGCCATACCCCTAACTTGACTTGCCTTCCAGGTTGAGATGGCTTGCCTTGTGTGCCACGCTGGACCCAACCCACCACCCACACTGCTTAATCCCTTCTCCTCCATCCCGATGTATCGCCAACCAGGATTTTGTCTCAATTCCTCCGCAACGATCCGAAGCCCAGAACGCCGGTACGGCTTGGCCCGCTTGGCCTGCCACCCAACTTCAAAGCCGAGCCCTGGACATCGGTCAGGAGGACCTGAAATTGTAGTATCGCGCTTCACTTGGCGTATACGGTGAGATCAAGATCAACACTGATGAAGCCGGTGATCGTTCTCGGCGTGAGCCGCCAGGAACACGGCAGCTAACAGCCAAACAATGCGGAGACTAGGTAGTTTAGTCTCGCTAATTAGCACAAAGGACCGGACTTGATACACTAGACCGGGACAAGATCGTCAGCGGAGCTAACCATTGGAGAGGAAGTGGGTGCAGTACGAGAGGCACACTTCTATCAGCCAGGTCCTCAGGCGAAGCGAGAGGAAGCTGAAGGGCAAGGGGTTTTGTTTTGCTTTGTTTCTTTGCTTCTGGGAGTTTCTTTTCCATGGTCAGTTTCAGGTAGTCTGGGCAGCTTCACATGTCACAAGTTGTCAAACACCACGGCCCACCTTGTGCCGGTTCCCTGATGGGGCATGGAGGGGATCATCCTCTGGCCTTCCATACACGGACTTGGAGGCCCGGCGGTCTGGTAGTTAGCACAGCCGCTAAGTTGTATAGCTTCTGTAGGTGCGGAGGGAATGGCCAAATCTGGGGTTGAGTTGCGAGAAGGGGACCAAGGAGAGGAGGGTACAGTGAAGGCTGAAAGATGTGATAGAGGTCAAGTGATCATCTTGATACTAGTTTCGAACGTTCCCCTGTTGTTCTAAACGGTACACTAGGCCGGACTGTCCAAGAGTGTTCAAGAGGGTACCGAGACCGCAGCCACGTGCACCGTGCACCGTGAAAGATTAAGGTAACTTTGATCATCGGAGCGGGCCGTATAAGTGCAGGGGTTGACTGTCGGTAATCTGAGTATTCATGCTGGAGAACTTGGGGAAGTATACGTAATATGGTAGCGTCCGCGGCTCTAGGTTTGCGGTGTGATGAAGAACACGGTTGAGCGGCTCCGGATTCTGCATTAACGGCCGACTCGCAAGATGGATGCAAGAAGGGAAAAGATCACCACCTCAATCATTCCCTTTGGAAGAAGAAAAGATCCAACAGGACGCTGTGTAAGAAGTGCTCCTTCCTCTTCTGGTTCTTGTTCCTGTCGTTCTCTTGATATGAGTGGACAAGAGCAAGTTCGAGATGTTCCTGCAGAAGAAGGGCAACGCCTTCCGTTAAACCCCCGCAAACAACGACTGATGATTGGTGCCCCAACGAAACCCCAATGGAGGGAAATTCGGTCGAGTAAGCCGAAGAAGTTGAAGAATTCAAAGAAATCTGCTATAACAAATGTGATAAGGTATGTGTCGCCACGGTTGTTATGTGCAGATGACTGACTCAAAAGAGAAGGACGGACGGCGTCGAAGTCACGATTGCACGTTCATCTCACGCCAAGCTCCTTTGTTTTTAGTGACTGAGTGGTGTAAAAAGTCCTTACTAAGATATACTTGGGGGTTGTCGGGCGGCTTGGTTGGAGCCTTTTGTCAACCCCCTACTCATCTTTTATGAGAGGGGGTTGACAAAAGAAAAGATGAGTAGGGGGTTGAGGAAAGGTTCCACCACCGAGCCGCACCACAACCCCCAAGAACCTCCAACAAGTTACTTCTACGCAAGGTCAGCCGACGAGAATGGGTCCTGGGACACTTGGTGCGACCATATTGTTTCGAATTATTGAGTTGGCCTGTAGTGTATGTCCAAAGAGGTTGACGGGCGGAATGGTTCCGCATATGTTCAATTTGGACTCGTGATCTACACTCCTGCTTACTAGAACGGGTTAATAAAGAGCAACGGGAATGTCTCACAGTGGCATGGTGAGAAGTACGACCGTTTATCAACAAACTCGGATCCGGGTGGTTCAATTAGTCTAGTGACTGCCGGCCTCCCGTATATTGAGGAGTAAAAAGACGGAATGCTCCATTCAGCGGAGTTCAGTTCAATGCTCCTACACTAGCCAGACCTGCTCGATGAAGACGCTCGCGCATCAGCTCCGACATCGCTTCGCTTACCCGCACTCACCACCACACCACACCATCTCGGGCCTCACTGACGTATAACTCCCCTCCTCATGCTATAACTCCCCTCCCCATGCGAGCCTGCAGCGCACTACACCACCACGAAGGACAACCATCCCCAAGACTTTAAGCAAAGCATAAGAGCAACTGCGTCATTGTGCTGCTGCCCAACTCTCTGGCTTCTCTGGTTCTGGTTTTCGAGGTTCTTCGGTAAATGAGGTGTCCCGGCGCAACCTCCGCCCCCTGCTGCTGTTCACCCACTGCCACGGTCAAATCACGGCCGTTGCCGACCAGTACCCTTGCCCAGCTGCCCACTAGGCCCAATCATACCCCATGGACTGCTTTCCCCCGCCGTTATTTCTCCGCATAAGGATCTCTGCTATAACTTAACTCCGCCAACAGAAGGGATCAACAGGTGCATGGAATGGCCTAACTTCAGTGAGGAATCTCCTCCGGACCGCAACGTCGGCCAAGCATCTAGCTTGCTGCTTATGGCTACCAGAGCACGACACGGACCGAGAGACCTATCTTCAAGCGGAGAGCATCTCGATTGATTTCTCCCCTTTGCCCTTCTTCTGATTTTAGTGAAAAAAACAACATCGGAAGAGCTGGTGACCAAAAACCTGTTCCGGATCTTCACAGTGGCTAGTGCTGCTACAGTGGTGGAAATTGGGATTATATACAAGCTTCATTACCGGTAATCTACCTCGCCTAGAACGCTTAATATATTTTAAGCGTTGGCTCTGAAGTTCACGATGCTGAGGCTTAAGCAAAAGCGTTGACGAGAGCTTAAGCGCCAAGAACCAATGCCTACACCTGATTGGCTAGATTGGCTCCCGATAATATTGAAATCCGGCCTCCGATTGGCCAGGCCCGCTCCTTCCCCTAGCTTTGCCCGTCGCCCGCCCAAGTCCATCCAAAACCACCCAAGTCCACCACCATCAAGTCCACCACCATCAAGTCCACCACCACCAAGTTCACCACTACTACTACCTTGAATCGAGGCCGTCGTTGTCGCTGTCGTCGTCGCTATCGCCGAGGCAATTGAATCTGCGATGCAAATGATGATGGTCAGCAATAGGAATTGAATCAGGGGTGCAGCCATACCTGGGAGTGTGATGGCCGTCGCCCGTCGTTGTTGGTGGTCGTCGTCGTTGGTAGTGGTGGTGGTGATGTTGCAAGAGGAAAGTTGGAAGACGTCGGGGAACTCCAGCTTTTTCACTTCGCCATCCCCGCTTCTCTCTCCTTCTCCCCCATATTCCCGTTAATGTTGCTTATAGGAGGAAAACCAGGTGCTCGTCAGGAACCACTTGCGCTCCTTTTCCTTTTCTGGACACCGTTGGTCATACGGCGGGCTGGACCGAACGCCATGTTCGTTCCTACGGTGTAAAGTGCAACTTGAAAGCTGGAAATATTGCTTCAATATTCAGCATCTCATCCGGTCATTGTCAGTATGGATTCACGATGCACAGCAGATTGGCACGCGAACGGGTGGTGGAACGTGGCGGCATTCCACGCATTTGCTATGTGTGGCAATCTGGCTCCGGTTGGTCATGCCTTGTGTCCTGTTATATCGTGCAGCGCATTCCGTCGCCATGTCTATTCTCGTTTGCTGTACGTGTATGCGGTATTCTGGCGGGTTCCAGGTAAAAGTTGATCGTTTAGCACTTGGCTGTTACTCTGTCGACAGGAGATCACGTAATGTCCCCTGGTCTTATTCGTGGAACCTCGTCGATATCCCCTCACGGCCTCTCTTTTAGCAAGGTTGAAGGGATGGAAACACGGTACCGATAGCCGTCAAGGTATGGCCGAGGGAGGCACATGAACACCGTCTTTCATCTTCCCTTATATCTTAACTTGACTCCCTTCACCGGGCCGTTGTTCCTCGCTAGGGGATCCATTTCCTTTCTGGACGCCTTCAAGTTGACAAGTACTCGGACTTCCGCAAGGGCATTTGTCAAGATGGCTGTTCGATCGAGCCTTGTGTGGCTCACTCTCGCCTTGAGCCTTTTCGATCTTACCTGTAATGCGGGTCCAGTACGCCAAAGGGAGGCCGTCCCTGATGGCTTCTATGCGGCCCCTTACTACCCAACACCTTATGGTGGCTGGGAAGATTCATGGAAAGAGAGCTATGCAAAAGCGCAGGCACTGGTGGACAAGATGACTCTGGCGGAAAAGACGAACATCACAGGTGGAAGTGGTTACTTCATGGGTAGGTTCCCTAGTCCAATATACGAGTGGCAAACTGAGCATGAGCTGACTGGGACACAGGGTGAGTTTATCAAAACGGCTACCGAAGCACTTGAGCACATCTAACCATCTCAACAGCCCTTGTGTAGGAAACAGCGGTAGTGCGTACCGAGTTGGCTTCCCTCAGCTTTGTTTGCAGGATGGTGCTCTCGGTGTGGGCAACACCGATCATAATACGGCATTCCCGGCTGGTATCACGACGGGAGCGACGTTTGACAAGGACCTTATCTATGCTCGTGCTGTTGCCATAGGTAAAGAGTTCCGCGGCAAAGGAGCTCACGTTTTCCTTGGTCCCGCGGTAGGCCCTATGGGTCGCAAGCCTCTCGGTGGCCGCAACTGGGAAAGCTTCGGCGCCGACCCTGTTCTCCAGGGTATTGCCGGCGCCTTGACTATCAAGGGCGTCCAGGAGCAGGGTGTTATTGCTACCATCAAACATCTCATCGGAAACGAGCAGGAGATGTATCGCATGTACAACCCATTGCAGCCAGGATACAGTTCGAATATCGGTAAGTGACTTGCAACGGATCCTCAAATCTACAGTTGGATACTGACCAAAGGTTTGTAGATGATCGCACCCTACACGAGCTTTACGTAAGTTGTCTAACGCAAATTTCCGGAATTCTCAAGACTAACACAGAGCTACCTACAGTTATGGCCATTTGCTGATGGTGTCCACGCCGGCGTTGGCTCGGCCATGACATCCTACAACGCCGTCAACGGCTCGGCTGCTTCTCAAAACGCCTACCTTATCAACAACTTGCTCAAGGATGAGCTCGGCTTCCAAGGTTTTGTCATGTCGGATTGGCTTTCTCACCTTTCCGGCGTCGCATCAGCACTGGCCGGTCTTGACATGAGCATGCCTGGAGACACTCAAATCCCTCTATTTGGTGATAGCCCGTGGAAGTTCCACCTTACGGAGGCTGTCCTGAACGGATCAGTACCAGTGGACAGGTTGAGCGACATGGCGACCAGAATTGTGGCCGCTTGGTATCAGTTCGGCCAAGACAATGACTTCCCGGCTGTTAACTTTCACTCGTATGTATCGAGTGAAAAGGGACTTCTATACCCCGGTGCTGTTCCGTCCTCGCCCATTGGTAAGGTCAACTGGTTCGTGGACGTTCAAGCGGATCACGGCTTGGTTGCACGCCAGGTCGCCCAAGATGCCATCACTCTTCTGAAAAACGACGGCGATTTCCTGCCCCTTTCTACCAAGTCACCCCTCAGGGTCTTTGGTTCCGATGCTCGGGTCGACCCTGCTGGCGCCAACGCTTGCGGAAGCCGCGCCTGTAACAAGGGCACTCTGGGAATGGGCTGGGGCTCCGGCGTTGCGAACTACCCCTATTTCGATGACCCCATCGCTGCCATCAAGAAGCGGGTTGAAGACGTCAAGCTATACGACAGCGATAACTTCCCCCTCATCCTCACCCCTACGCCCACTGATGATGACGTTGCAATCGTCTTTATTAACTCTGATGCGGGCGAGAACTCGTTTACCGTTGAAGGCAACCATGGTGATCGCGACAATGATAAGCTCTCCGCCTGGCATAACGGCGACAAGCTTGTTCAGAAGGCTGCTGAGAAGTACAAGAACGTCGTGGTCGTTGTCCACACTGTCGGTCCCCTCATCGTCGAGCCCTGGATTGACCTACCCTCCGTCAAGGCCGTCCTCTTCGCCCACCTCCCCGGCCAAGAAGCCGGCAAGTCGCTCGCCAACGTTCTCTTCGGCGACGTCTCACCCTCCGGCCACCTTCCCTACTCCATCACCAAGAAGGAGGACGACCTGCCCGGCAGCGTAACCAAGCTCGTCAAGGAACTCATCGGCCAGCCCCAAGACACCTACAGCGAAGGCCTCTACATCGACTACCGCTGGCTCAACAAGCAGAAGATCAAACCCCGCTACGCCTTCGGCCACGGTCTGAGCTACACCACCTTCAACTACACCGACGCCCACATCAAGATCGTCAACGCCCTCTCCTCGGCCTTACCGCCCGCCCGCCAACCCAAGCCCTCCGTCCCCGTCCTCTCCACCGAGATCCCATCCGCCTCCGAAGCCTACGAGCCAGCGGGTTTCGCCAAAATCTGGCGCTACATCTACTCCTGGCTGTCCAAGTCCGACGCCGACAAGGCCTACGCCGTCGGCACCTCTTCCACCAAGTCCGGCTCCACCAAGACCTACCCCTACCCCTACCCCGAGGGCTACTCGACCGTGCAAAAGCCCGGCGTCCCCGCCGGCGGCGGTCAGGGCGGTAACCCCGCCCTGTTCGACACCATCCTCGAGCTGGACGTGACTGTGCAAAACACCGGTACTCAACATAAGGGTAAAGCTTCTGTGCAGGCGTATGTCCAGTTTCCTTCGGATAGCGGGTACGACACGCCTATTATCCAGCTGCGTGATTTCGCCAAGACGAAGGAGTTGGGCACGGGAGAGAGCGAGACGGTTACGTTGAGGCTGAGGAGGAAGGATTTGAGTGTGTGGGATACGCAGAAGCAGAATTGGGTGGCTCCTGGTGCCGAAGGGGATAATGGGAAGAGTAAGAGATACGTTGTGTGGGTGGGTGAGGGGAGTGATAAGCTTTTTACTAGGTGTTTTAGTGATACTTTGGTTTGTGAGAGGGGGGTTGAGCCGCCTGTTTGAGGGTACTCGTCTGGGCTAGAAACGCCCTCTAGACCCAATGCTGCCGGGCCAAGGGGTGTGACTGGCGTTTCGAGCCCACACGAGTAAGGGGTTGTTTACTTGTGGATGACGATGGCTTGGCTGGAGTATGCCAGGTTATATGCTTTAGTATTTCGTAACTTTTAGTGTTAATACCTACTTGATTGATGTGTTCTCACGAGTCCTAGTTTTACGGTTTCCTCTTTCTGTTCATATGATAGTCCTATACCGTAATCTGATGCAAGCCAGCAGATTACCTAAGTAGAGTTGGTGGTTCGAGATGCTCGGTGACGTGTATCGAAACATGCCTGATTTCTAAATCAAGATGTTGAGACACGCCATATCGCCCGCATCTTCCTTTCCTCCAGACAATATGGACGTCCCTGTGAGCCTTGAATACCTACCGACAAGCTATGATTTACTCGAGCGAATTCATGTGATTCTGAAAAAGTCGCCTGTGACGCATATCTGGCTCGATATATCTAGGTAGTTTCCATCCGGATATCCAGATACCTTCATACTATGTACAATTTGTCGGCATTTCATAAGACCAGATTCCTCACCCTCGACGCCCCCGAGCCCAGAGAATCAATTCCGCACAAATATCAATCCAACAAAGATGCTCGGCATTGCCCCCTGTGTGTGTGTTACCAACTGAGAAATACCATACCGATTGTGAAAAAGAGGATTTCGTAGCACGGAAGGTATGTAACAAGCCAAAAGCACACATGTGCCCCATGATTGACGACGGCCTTGAGCTCTCAATCCCACTGATCGATATTCCCAAAGAACATCTAGCCCTTGACTAGCTACCTTATATGTCTAATTTTCCATGCAAAGATGCGGGCTAGTAGAGGTAATCATGTAGCCGAAGTTGTCAACTTTCAAAGCAGTTGGTAGCTTTTTCCGCCAGCAAGCACGAGTACTCTACGGTATCAAAAGCGGGAACGAAGAAGGAAACTGCCCGGACGTATAGGGATGAAGAAGGAGATGGATAGATAAAGGAAACGAGAAGGAGAAGAAGGACGGACAGATTGCCGGTGGCAAAGCACGAATGACGGATGAACGAAGGAACAATGACACAATGAAGAAGATCTAGAAGACCCGTTCTACTACTTTATAATTCCTTTCATACTCCTCCTCCTCCTCCTCCTCCTCCTCCTCGAATTAGTTGTCTTTCTACATTGCAGTTGTACTTCCTTCTTATTCTCATGTTATTCTGATTATCTTCTCATTTTGCCTCTTGACTCTTGAGTTTCGCATTGCTTTTCTACCTATGGTCTTCATCGTTGACATTTATTGCCAATTTGCTTTTGTTCTCCTTCCTCCTCACTTCCTCAAGAGAAGGAATGGAAGTTTTCTCCCTGTATTCTCTG